AGGAAGGAAGGAAGGAAGGAAGGAAGGAAGGAAGGAAGGAAGGAAGGGAGGGAGGGAGGGAGGGAGGGAGGGAGGGAAGGTGAGGGAGAAAGAGAGAAAGAAAGAAAGGGAGAGAGAAAGAAAAAGAGAAAGGGAAGAAGAAAGAAAGGAAAGAGAAAGAAAGGAGAGAGAAAGGAAAGAGAAAAAGGAAAGGGAGAGAAAGAGAGAGGAGAGAAAGGAAGGAAGGAAAGAGAAGGAATGAGAGAGAGAGAGAAAGGAAGGACTATGATTTTATTTTACGTGCAGGAGTGTTTGCCTGCATGTATGTAAGTCCACCCATGCATACCTGATGCCTGCAGAGTTCAGAAGACACATCTGATTCTCTGGAATTAGAGGTACAAGAGGCTTTGAGCTGCCATGTGGGAGTTAGGAATTGAACCCAGGACCTCTAGAAGAGCAGCCAGTGCTCTAAGCTGTTGACCATCTTCCCATCCCCAAAGATTTTATTTGCATGGTGTGTGCATGTGTGCAAGCAAGTGTGTGTCTATGTGCATGCATCGCCACGCCCGGCTGCAGCGCTTGCTCTTAACTGTTAAGCCAGCTCTCCAATCCCATTCTCCTCCTTAGACTCCCATTTTCTCTATGGGACATGCATATGTGTCCCATTACCACCAAGTCATCTATGTCTGTCTGTTTTGTGGTTGTTGTTTCCCCTTTTTGGTTGTTTGAGGCAGGATCACATGTAGTTGGACATGGGCTCCCTTTGGGACTTACTTTTCTTGAACTCTTGATTCCCCTGGCTGCATCTCCCAAACACTGGGATCACAGGAGCATGTGAGCGCACCTGGCTAAGTCACCATAGTCTATCCTGCTGGTACAGTCTCCCACCTCTGATGATGGATAAACAGCCTGAGGAGCTGGGCCTGTCTATTTTATGGCACTTGGATCCACTTCGTCCTTGTTCTCTGGGGTCCCAGCATATCGGCTCTTTCCCAGCACTGACCTATGGCTGATTTCACAGGGCCTCATTAAGGATGCGGAAGCTGCAGACAGCAGCAGCATGGGGTCCTATGAGGCTGAGCTCACAGTTCTGTGGGTCATTCTGCATGTCAGGGAGAGTAAGCGGGAGGGAGGCAGAAGGCAGCTGGGGGTAATTGCTTTTGAACACAGCACCTCGAAGGAGGCCTTGGCTAGAAGCAGCTACCTCTGTAGTGAAGGCGCTTGAAAGCTGGTGTAGTCCAGGCAGCGCCCTGGGTGGAATGAGCACCGACACCTCTGTGCTACAAGCTCACGGAGCGTGGGCTGTACACACTGCCCCATCATCCCTGGTAGAGAAGCCTGCGCTATGAGTTTAGAAGCCCACCTCGGTACATGCCCAAGAAGCCCTCAGCACGTGCGGTCTTCATCAGGCAATCCGTCCTAGAAGCAGAGGCCAGAAAGGAAGTTAGTGGTGATCAAATGTGCCTCTTTTCCTTCCTGGGCACACCTCAGTTGGCCTTGCCCCCCCCCCCCCCCAGATCCCTCCTTGAAGAAGCAAACGAGCTCTCGGGTCCTTTCCAGGGACCTCCCTGCCTTCACTTCTCCCACCAATACCTACATTCCTTTATACACATCCTTCCCCTGCTGGTTCTGCAGTCGGGTCTTGGCAAGGTCGATGGGAAACACGCAGGTCACCCCCACGAGTCCTGCCACACCTCCATTGATGAGTTTTGCAGTGATGCTAGGTCATAGGGAGGAGAGAGAGAGTAGTAGTGTGTGAGAGAGAGTTCCTGGCTACACAGGTTTGGTAGGGGATGAGAGCAGGCTCAGACAGAGAAAATCAGGGATGGCAACTACGGGCTTCCAGCTGACCAGAGTGCCCTCTGCTCAGGACCTCCCCGACCCAGCTGTCAGCTCCTGTCCTGCCTTCCACACAGGCTAGGAACCTCTTCCCAAGAAGCCCATGCTTACCCACACTACCCATAGCAAAGAGTTCACTAAGCTAAAATGCTGCAGCCTGCTGGGAGATGGCAGGCCTTAGCTTGACCTTCAAAGATGTCCTCCAGAGCTGCCACCAAGGTTGGCTCTCCATCCTCTCACCCTTGGAGGCCTGTGAGGAAGTGTTCAAACAAGTTCCAACTCTATTTCCAGTTTACATGGCAAAAGTACGTGGTGCAAATGAATCTTGGCGAGGTTGTTGACTCGGGCAAGTCTCCTCAGTTCTCTGAAACTTCAGTCCCCTCATCTGAGGGATTGTGTGAGGACCAAGTAAATGAACATCAGGTAAATGGCAGCTATTGTCAAGGATGAGACAGCTTCCAGGCTAGAGAGATGGCTCGTTGGTTAAGAGCATGTGTTGCTTTTGCAGAGCACCCAGTTCCGAGTCCCAGCACCCCATGGCAGCTCACAACCACACGTAATTCCAATTCCAGCAGACCTGACCTCGTTTTTGACCTTTCTAGGTACCAGGAATGTACATATATTATACAGGCAAACATTCACACACATAAAATAAATCTAAACAAATATTTAAAGGATAAAAATGCCCTGACTGTGAGCATGCATGCTTTTTAGCAAGAGATAACCAGGATGAATAAGCAGTATATTATTTACCCTAACCTCTGTCAATACTTGCTTTAGGAAGCATGGCTCATCTTCTTGGTTAAGAATAGGAGTCTGGGAACAGAAAACAAAGCTTCCTCAGACTCCTTGGAAAATAGTAAAATGTCCTTATCTTTCAGGCCAGAGGCAGACATGAAGAAAATATTTGAGACAGGCTAGCTGGAAGCAGTAAAAGTAGGCAACAGTGAGTTTCTCTACAAAGAAACCTAAATAAAAAAGAAACTGGAAAAAAAAAAAGAGAGAGAGAATCATGGCTTAAACTTCCCTGCAGAGATGTGTCAACGCATTTGAAAACAATCCTGCAGGGGAGGGGAGTTTAAAAGGGGTCTCATGTAGTCCAGCCTGGCCTCCAGCTTACTGGAGGTAAGGTAGCCAAGGCTATCCTTAAACCAACCCCAGAGCCTCTGCCTCTCAGAGCTGGCATGTGGGCAGATACAACTATGCCCAACTTGCACATTGCATTATTGGAGGAGGGGTCTGCTCGTTTATCTGGGGAAATACACATTTGGGGTGATGGGTCTCATTTGCTCTTGCCAGTCATTCAGCCTGCTATTCTCATAATCTAGAACTGCCACTGACCAGCTGCTACCATAGAAACCCTTTTTCAACCCAGCTGTCCCCCCAACCTACCTCAGGTCCTGGCTGGACATCCTGCAGGCGGTCAAGCACGGCAGCTCCCGGGACGCAGGCTGTGCGGGCCTCACAGGCAGCTGCTGTTGAGGCCAGTGGAGAAGGAAGAAGGGTGTCTTGACTCAAGCCCTCCAGAGAGCTGACAGGACACAGGAATCCTCATGCCCCTGCACGTTCCATGTCCTTCCTTCCTACACCTTTTGGAAATGTGCATCCGGACAGAAATCCTTGTTTGGATTTTGATCAGAAAAGAAAGGAGGGTGAGAGCAGAAGCCATCCCAAGGCTTCTGAGGAAGGCCTGGGAGTGGAGACATGGGCTCTGAAGAGATTTTTATCAGGAGTCCCTCTCACAGTAGACGAGGGCTGCAAGGCTTGAGATGTTCTCAAGCATGTTTGTTTGTTTACTTGAAAATGTAGAGAATGAAGAGACACGAGACAGGGACTTGGACTTGCCAAAGAGCCTACACTGGCCTTCAGGCTCCCTATTGACATGAGAGTGGGGTCTCTTTCCTCTATTCTCCTTGCTTTTCCTAAGGCTGCCAAGCAAGTCTTAGTCATCTCTAAGTATTTTTCTTCTGGGGAAGGAGGGAGAGGGAAAGGATGAGGAAAGTGACTCTCTTGGAGATGTTAATCATGTCAGCCATATATATATATATATATATATATATCACACATACATATTATTGGGGGAGTATGGGAGTGTGGGAGATGGCTTGGTGGTTAGGAGCACCTGCTCTTCCAGAGGACCCAGCTTCACTTTTCAGCACTCACATGGCAGCCCACAGCTGGTCTGTAACTCCAGTTTTAGGAAGCCTCATGCAACCTTCTGACCTTTGCAGGCACCAATGTGGTGCACATACATACATATAGGCAATACACCCACAAACGTAAAATGAGTATGGGAAGAAAAAACTCTTTAAGGGTAATATTGTCAAGTCTGATTACAGTTCTAGAGCACAGTGCTAGTGAAGATCCAACTAAGAGCTCCTCTCTCAGGGACTTAAATTCCAGGGACAACAGATAATATGCAGGAAAGCCCAAAGAGCCTAGAGCCTAGAGAGAAAGGACTACTATGAAGAATACAGCGCCTAGTACCTGTTGTCCCAGCACCTGGAAGTCTGAGGCAGGAGGGCCTCATACACTTCAGGGTCGGCGAGAAACTCTGACCCATACAGGGAAGATGGAAAGAGATGGAGGAAGTCACCTGGCTTTGACCTCAGCCCCCTAACCCATCCCCACCATACAGGAGAGAGATAGAGGGGGTGGATTTAGAAGGGAAAAGCCCTCTGACTACATTGTCCGTAAGGTCTGAGCAGGGTTTCACTAGGCAGGATCTCAGGAGGGCACACAGGTGTGAGGACCAGGCAGAGGCTCCAGGGGTGGCGCGTGGCTCACATCAATGTAGCTTGTGCCTGGGCCCTGGATTTCCTCCCCAGCCCTGCCAAGAAAAAAAACAAAACAAAAGCACTCTGGGTAAACGCCACCCTGGACTGACTAGTGAGCTCAAGAGAGAGCTGTAAGGCCAGTAAAGCCAAGTCATAAATGGAGGTGGGGGAGGGGGGTCACTGAGCATAGGGTTTCATGACAGACCCATGCCATCTGCTATGAGAAGAGACAAAGCCAAGCAGAAGATACCAGGATTACAGTCTGTAACTCCCTGGTGGGCCAGAGCTGGTGGTGGGCGAAGCTCAAGGGGCTGCCAGCGTGGGACTTGATCTGTTGGCCAAACAGAAAGCCAGTCTACAGGAAGGACAGAAGAGTAAGCACACTGAGAGGGGGCCCAATGGGGCCATTCCTACTTCAGGCACTCCTGTGGCAGGCTCTTAACTTTGCTGTTTGTTTGGCACCGGGGACTGTTCTATCAGTGAGCCTGATTTTACTTGTGATTTTGAGACAGGATCTTGCTAAGTTTGCCCAGGCTGGCCAGGAACAACTTATAAAATCCTGTTGCCTCAGCCTCCCCTTTAGATTGCTAGCCTTAACGGTGTCCATCCTTGCTCCAAGCTCATAATCAAATGCCAGCCAAATGGATTCTGGGACACTCAGCTCACCTCATTGCATATCTTGAATTTCAGTTAAAAATTTATTATTAGCTAGGCGTGGTGGCAGGCGCCTTTAGCCCTGTGCTCGGGAGGCAGAGGCAGGCGGATCTCTGAGTTCAAGGCCAGCTTGGTTTACAGAGTAAGTTCCAGGACAGCCAGGGCTTGTTACAGAGAAACTGGTCTTGAAAAACCAGAATATAAAAATATTATGCAGGTTTCATTTATGGTGTGTGTGGAGGGCAGAGGACAAGCCCCAGAGGTAGTTCTCACTACTCACTATGAGAGGTTGCTGGGCTTGTGTGGCAACCACCTTCACTCATGGAGCCACCCTAGCAGACCATGGACTGGTTCATTTATCTACTTATTTACCTACCTACCTACCTACCTACCATCTTTCTTTCTGTCCCCCCCCCCCCAAGACAGCATTTCTCTGTGTGTAGCCCTGGCTGTCCTAGAATTACTCTGTAGATCAGGCTGGCCTGATCTCACAAAAGATCTGCCTGCTTCTGCCTCCCAAGTCTGGGATTAAAGGCGTGTACCACCACCACCAGGCTCTGCTTCACTTTTTTCAAGACAGGGTTTCTCCCTGTAGTCCTGGCTATCCTGGAACTCACTCTTTGGACCAGGCTGGCCTCAATCTGACTGCCTCTGCCTTCTGAATGCTGGGATAAAAGGTGCGTATCACCGCTTTGATTTTGAGACAGTCTCACTACGTAGCCCAGGCTAGCCTCCAACCAACCTGTGTCAGTCCCCTTTCCTTGGACTCCTAGGTCCTGAAAGTACAGGCTTGTGTGAACACAACTGGGAAAGGACACTGAGGTGCACCCCCAGCCCACCTTCCTATCTTTAATTCCTTGCTGGTCTGTGCTTGTGGGAAGTTGTTTCCTGTGGAGGCCAGGAAAAGGCAATGGAGCCCCTGAAGCTGGAAGTGACGAGGTTATGAGCCACCTGTCAAGTGTGTTGTCCTCTGCAAAAACAACACGAACTCTTAACCACTGAGCCACGTCTCAGCTCCTATCTTGCTTTATATGTGTGTGTATACAATTACATATTTATATGAGTGTTTTGCTCATGTTTTTACACTACATATCTGGTGCCAGAGAAGGCCACAAGATGGTGCTAGATTTTCTGAGACTCCATTTACAGTTGTAAGCTGCCATGTGAATGCTGGGAATTGAACCTGGGTCCTCTGGAAGAGTAGCCAGTGCTCTTAGTCGCTGAGCATCTCTCCAGCAATGGACTCGACACAGCCTCTACTCCCACCCTGTCTGGGAGAAGGCAGGTCCAGGCTGCAGAGTCCTCATCCTGGTCAGGAGCCTGTTCCTGCCAACTTTTTCAAAAAGCCAGAATCTTGGGACACTTGGTGGCAAAATGTCATATTAAACTGCCAGACATTCTTTGAGATGGTAAGTTGTCATGAAACATACAAATCCCAAGTAGCTACTTCAGAAGTACAGAACTTAACTTTTTGCTATGAAGTAAGGGTAAAGGAAATGGACACACAACAGCCCTTTGGACCACGTTCCTGGCATTTCTAGAGCAAAATTAAATGACAGAAATCAGTGTTCCTTGGCAATGGGAATGGGCACAATCGAGATAAGTCAGAGAACAAAGGAACACGCTGAACCGGGGCATTCCACAGCAACTCTGCAGCATTTGCTGATGAGGGCTTTTCTCACCCTGCAAATCCTAGCTCCGGGTTCCCTTTTGCAAACTCAAGCATTCAAAGGGCACGACTTCACAAGTCCCTGCCATAGGTTCTATTTTATAAACTAGTGTGTATGTGTGCCGTTTGTATGTGCACCACGTGTCCATGGAGCCTAAAACAGGTGATGGGATCCCTGGAACCAGACGCAGATGGTGAACTACTCATGTAGATGTTAGGGACCGAACCCAGGTCCTTTCCGAAAGCAACAAGGCTCTTATCATTGACCCTTTTCTTTTGTACCACACAGAAAATAAAATAAATAAAAATTCAAAAATTAAATTTATTACTTTTTAAATATAGCCAGGCATGTTCCACCCTCCCCGAACCCCTCACAGGGTTTCTTCTCTGTGTAGCCCTGGCTGTCCTGGAACTGTCTTTGTAGACCAGGCTTGGCCTCAAACTCACAAAGATTCAGCTGCCTGTCTCCTCGATTAATCCTCCACTGGGGTTAAAGTTGTGTACCACACCACCACGGTTTTAAAGGAATCTTATCAGGAAATCCTAAACTTGGCAACAGGGCCCCTTCTACCCAGTCCTTCAGGCAATCTACTGAATGCCTGCAGGGTGATGGTCAGTGTTCCAGGCAGCTGGCTTGTGGCTGGCTGACAAAGTAAGATCACTTTACCTTCAAAGAATTTAGGTTTTACTGGTTCCAACTTTGAAAGGACAGGGCTGGCAGACCGGCTCGGCGGGAGTCCGTGGGCCTCATGGGCAGGAGGCCTTGTCTTCCGTCTTGAGTGCTGGGGAAGAGTTTGGTAACTGGGGCAGTGCTTGCCTCATTCCCCACCAGGGATCACAAAGCAGCATCTTAGGCTCCTTCTTTTTGTTGTGGTGGTGGTGGTGATGGTTTCCTTGTGTACCCCTGGCTGTTCTGGACTCGCTTTGTAGACCAGGCTGGCCTCGAACTCACAGAGATCTGCCTGCCTCTGCTGGGATGAAAGGCAGTGCCTTCTAATGAACAATTTGCTCTATTTTAGCTGGCTTTATGAAGTCATTAACTAGGGTCCTTAACAAAAACTCAGATCCCATTTTACAGTGATAACTGGTTAGTGTTGAAAAGAGCCAGAGCTGAGGAAGGACACTGAGACATCTTGCTGGCCCTGCTTTTTCTTCTGATTTAACTATTTCTGCACTAATTTGCATCAATCGTAAACTTTCAAGGGACCAGGAGAAAACCAGTTACTTCATCACCAATGGAAAAATGCTGCCCACACCTGGACAGATGGCTCTCTGCAGGCCAAGGCGTGGGGTGCACATGGCGGAGGGGGAAGACGGACCCCACATGCATAAGGATGTATAAGGATGGTAAAAATGTGTATGCACACATACAATAGATAAACATGACAATCAAAACCCAGGGGAGGGAGAGATGGGTCAGCGGTTTCCAGAGGTCCCGAGTTCAATTCCAAGCACCCACATGGTGGCTCACAACCATTTATACTGGGATCTGATGTCCTCTTCTGGCGTGCAGGTGTACATGCAGCTATACATTAACTAAATAAATCTTAAGAACAAACAGAACATCAACCAAAACCAAACAAAAAACAAAACCCTCCTCCAAGTGTCATCACCTCAGAGGGGTTCAGTGTTATGGCCCAGGTCCATCCTCAAGGGCGGGGAGCAGCTCTTGATGGATGCGCTAATGCTTAGGGCAGGTTCCTGCTCCCACCCCACCTTGCCCACTGCCTGCCCCCTTTTCTGCTCTCCATCAGCTCACGACAGCTTCTTCAGGGGATGAGCCTAACCCTAACCCTACTAGTACACGCTGGCAATGTGCCCAGGATGCACTTTGCTCCCAGATCAGCAATAAATTACAAACTGTTGTTTGGGAGTCAGTGATACCTCAATGTGACCTCCTCTCAGAAGTGTTCATATATGCATGATGTGTGCACACATGTGCATGTTTTAAAGACATAAACATGTGCATGTTTATGTAGCCCCGTCCCAGAACATGCTATACAGACCCAGTGGGCCTTGAACTCAGAGACCCCCTTGCCTCTCTGCCTCTGCTGAGGTTAAAGGCATGTACCATTATATGAGCTAATGCTCCTCCTCCTCTTTTTTTTTTTTTTGAGACACGGTTTCTTCGTGTAGCCCTGTTCATCCTGCAATTAACTCTGTAGACCAGGCTGTCCTGTGACGGAGAGCCTGCCTGTTTCCCAAGCACTGGGATTAAAGCCGTGGGCCACCACCACCCAGAGCTTTTGTTTTTAAGCCCACAAATGCAACCACCACCTTTAACTTGCAGTTGATGTTAGCACAAGACATACAGCCTTGAGCTGCTTTCTTCACACTGAGAACCAGGGCTGTTTCCTCCTACTAGCAGGGCACATGGGTCTCCCAGGGCTAAGCCCCTCCTACCAGAGTGGCCATTAACTCTGTCTTAACTCACTACCCAGGAAGTACCCCACTTCCCAGGGTGCTCTTGGGATGCCAGAGACTTCCTCTTACCACTGCTTGCAGTGGGTGATGTGAAAAGCCCTGTCCCTAAGGCCTCCTTGCCTTTCTACCAACTCTATGCTTGACATGGACAGACAAGACAACTCTTACCAGCTTTCAGGAAGGACCTTCTTTCTGCCTTCTCTGGAGTAAAGGACAGAGGCTGGGTTTCCGGTGAGCTGTGGGCAGAGCTGGCTTACAATGCTGTCTGCAGGAGCTGCTTTGTCCTTGGGGTTTATCAGAGTGCAGTCCCTCCCCCCTGCTGCAGCTCTCACGTGGGCAGAGGTGCCAAGCAGGATGTTACTAAGTCCTCCTTCGCTGCAGTATTAGCCTTGACACACTGCACTTTGCAGTGGGTTTGGACTGAACTCCAGAGGCCACGCACCAGGCCAGAGCTCCCATTGCCTGGCTGGAAACACAGCTGAGCAGCAGCTTGACTAAGACAGCTGCAGGGCAGGTGGGGACGCCCCATCATGCAGACGTCAGCAAGGTGTGCCAGCAGGTAGTAATCACTACAATGTCTACACTTCTGTGAAGTCTCAACCGCCTTGTCAGTGCGCTGAATGCCCTGGGACACGTGTGAGGGTGGGGTCAGCATGGGCTCTCAGCATGCTCATCTCTGGCTAGGTGAGTGTGGCTGTTGACATTAACCACAAGCAACGCCTGCAGGTGGGGATGTTGTATATAAGGGTCATTTCACCCGTGCTGTGATCGCTCATATGTGCATACACTTTCCCCCTGAGATAGGATCTCACTGTGTAGCCTAGCTGGCCTGGAAACCCACTATGTAGACCAAGCTGGTCTCAAACTCACAATCCCCATGCCTCAGTCTCCAGAGTGCTGGGATGACAGTCACACACTACTGCACCTGGCTAGTACTCTCCTTTTGCAAGTGTGTAGATGGAACTCCCACATTCTGTATGTATATGCCATGCTGGGCAAATACTCCACTATGAAGCTACATAAAAGTCTCATGCAATTTTAATTGCAGGCAAATGTTTTTGTTGCTCTTGCAAAGAACCAGAGTTCAGTTTCCAGCACCCACATGACAGTTTGCAATCATCTGTAAATTCAGTTTCAGGGAATTTAAAGCTCTCTTCTGACCCCTGTGGGCACTAGGCAACGACATGGTACATACAAAGTCAAAATACTCATACACACAAAAGAAAAACAAAGCTGGGTATGGTGGCACATGCCTTTAATCCCAGCACTCAGGGAGGCAGGGGCAGTCGAATCGCTGAGTTTGAGACCAGCCTGATCTACAATTCAAGTCCAGGACAGTCAAGAGAAACCTTGCCCCCCCCCCCCAAGAAAAAAACAAACTAAAACTAAAATAACAACAAAAACAATTACAGAATTGAGTATTGGTGGTTTTCATCTGTAATCCCAGGACTTGAAACCTCAGCCTTCAAGTCCTGTGATTACACAAATTCAAGGCAAGCCCTCACTGCAGAGTGAACCCAGAGCCCCAAAACAAAAAAAGGAGGGTTGGGATGTAGTTCAATTGGTACCTGCCTAGGACGCATTAAATCCAATCAATCCCCAGAGCAGAGCAATCAGAAATGTGGAAGACCAGAAGTTCAAGAGTGTATCTGGCTAGCAAGCAAATTCTAAACTAGCCAGGGATTCCTGAGACTCTGTCTCAAATGAACAAATAAAAACAAACTGGTGTGACATCATAGGCCAGGAAGGGCCCATAGGAGCTGAAAGCCAGGGCAGAAGGGAGCTTCAGCTTTGGTTTGCAACAGCTAAAGGCAAAAGCACATCAAAGTTAGAGGTGCATATATGACCTCTCTTTAAGCAACTTTCTAGGGAGGGCCTGCTTGCCTCAAGAATGGCTCTGCAAGATCCCAAGCTAGCTGGAAAGCAGTATTGCCACCTCTCAGGCCCAATGTGATGTTACCAGGATACCCTGATGACACAGGGACACAGTCAAGGTTTCCAAACACTGTCTGGCAGGTTTACAACCTCAATGCACGACGAAAACCAATCTCTTTAAGGCAGGGCATCAGGTAGGCAAACCAATCTCTTTAAGGCAGGGCATCAGGCAGGCAGGTTTTGTACAGCCCAGAAACCATTAAAAGGCAGCCTAGACTGGCAGGAGCTTACTAGTCTATTGACTAAAACACAGCAGCAGCTGATGGATTGTCAGCCAGCACAATCCATCAAGTCCAGCACTGTCAGGACTACAGTGGGCAGGGAAGGTCTTATTTGTCAGGGTAACAGTTTCAAACCCTTGAGGCGCAGAGAAAATGGGAAGCTAAGCTGGACTGAGACCCATAAAAGCAGCAAGTGGCCTGGAGCAGTGAGGACAATAAGGGAGTTCCTCAGCTTTACTGTCTTCCCAGGTGTGGAATAGAGGTCACCTGTTCCCATCACTCCTCATTTTCCATAGTTCTTCAAAAGAAGACATGGTGAGATTCAGCTCAGAAAGGTGTAACAGCCTAGAACTGAAATTTGAAGCCAGGCCCTTCCTCTAGGGGGGGTGCTCGTAAACTGAGGCACGTGAGAGGTGTATCACATCAGGGAGCAGGGTCCTTCATGGCTTATCAGACCGAAAGGAGGAGGAGGAGGAAGAGCCTGCACTTTAACCAGTTCCTAAGTGATGCTCACTTGTCCACTGCAGGTCCCCACCTGACAGTTACAACAGGTCACACCTGGCCTATGTCCAAGTCAAATGGTGCAGACACACCAAGAGCCACCCTGCTTCAAGTAACAAGCGGGAACAAAACCACTCATCACCTTCAGCTCTGGCTGAACAATGGGCCTTCCAGCTCTCTGCTGTAGGCCAGTTTTCTCCACTCTTCTCCCCTCATTGCTAACTCTGAAAAAAGGAAGATAGTCTCTTCCTTTGTATTCTGAATAAGCAGGCAAGGTCCCAGGCAGATGCTGCCTATCAGTCCGCAATGCTCTATCATGTGGATTCAACAACTGCACCAAATGAATTGGGGGGTGGGGTGGGAACTCTGTGCGGAGTACGTACATTTTCTCTTGTGCACTGTTAGTGCACAAGAACACTACAGCTCAACAACTATTTACAGACTTTTACAAGAAACCTGCAGGTGACAATACACAGGAAGATGTGCATAGATGACATACAGACCCAATCCCAGGTCACACAGGCACCTGCAACCAATCCCTGAGGATGCCAAGGGCAACTGTACTTACAGCTTGGACAGGAGTCACGCCACACCTGTTTTTGGTACACTCCAGGCCAGGCTGTGCTGGATCTTGTCTTTGCCTTCCTACAAAGACTTAACTCCTTCCCATAGTGAAAACTCTGGATACCACCTGAGGAACTAGCTTCACTGCTTCGAACAACTCAGCCCAGCTTTAAATAGCTAGACTAGGGCAACTGGTCCTATGCAGTCAGGAATGAGCAAGTTGTGGTTTTCCACTCCTCAAATGGTCTCAAGACACCTGAATTAAAATTCATGTCATGGAGGCAGAGGGGCAGGGACTCCAGCACACAATAGCTCAATCTGGGCACTTCCCAGCTGCCTTCTTGGCTGCTACTGCAGTTCATTTTGCACTGAAAGCTTTTGCTAAAACTGTCTCAGGAAACTAGAGAAGTGAGCCCTGTGGGCACAAAGGAGACTGAAACAAACGCACAGACACTGTCCTTTCAAAAGCTCAAGGAACTGAATCCAGGGCAACAGATCAGCAAGGCCAAGCTACCAGAGCGAGGTGGGGGGTGAGGACAGTGAGGTCTGCCCAGGGAGGCAGCTGCAGCATGGGTGCTCAGAGCTCAACCACCTCTGGCTGAGCTGGAAGGATTTCCAAACACCCAGGAGAAAAGAGCCCACAGCCTTCCTGCCAAAGAAACCACTTGCATAACAACAGCAGGGCATAGGCCATTCCCTTTCCAGAAGTTTCCACCTGGATATTTTCCCAACTGCTAGTGATACCTTCAGGGAGAGAGTTAGAGCAAAGCTGCTCAAGACAGAGACTGCTTGTAAGAAGGTACCTTTCTTCCTGACTGGGACACCAGAGACAAGATGATCTCTGAGGAGCTGTACCTTCAGTATCTCTAATAGCCACATGGAGGGGTCCACAGGCAGTTTACAGCTTCTTCTCTTCCCTACTTTCTACTTGGGCTTTTCTGTTTGTTCCAGTTTTAACAAGGAAGCTCACAGCACAGGATCTTCCATGTTACCTGCTAGACCAAAACTGCTATCCAGAAACAATTCCCAAGAGGCTGATTAACTGCCTGGTCTAGGAGTTTTAAAACCAAGCTGAAAAGTGGAAGAGATTTTTGGTTGCATACAGATTTAGCATTGGTTGTTTGGTCAAAATGTATGTAGGACAGGTGCTTTTTTTGAGATGGGGGCATGGTGTATCGTAAGCTATGTAGACAAAGACTCCACTTCGGGGGCTGGGACTTGGGTGTCACACACAGCACACATCTGCTAGGTTTGTTCTGTTTTTAACTGACGTACGTGAGGGCCCTGCCTGTATGCTATGTGCAGTGTGGAGGTTAGAACTGGGCACTGGATCTCTGAGAACCGAATTCCAGGCAGTGTGAGTTTCCACCTGAGTGCTAGGAGAGAAGTACTTCTAATCCTGAGCCTGAGCCATTCCTCCAGCCCCAGAGCTTAACTCTTAGTAATCTCTTTGTTAAGGAATTCTGTGATAGCGGGGCCTTGGCGTTTCTACTTTGTCAAGGAACAGCAGTGCGCACGAGGAAGCAGCTGTCAGTGCGCTAAAGCCAGTGATGCAGCTGGGCTGGGTTTCTATGAAGCTAGCACAGGGGGCTGAAAGCCAGGGTCTTGCCATCGCACTCTAAGGCAAAAGATCACCAGAGAATGTGACCAACATAATGCAGACCTCGGTTTCCTAATGGTTTTCATCCTAAAGCTTACTTTGATCCAGAAATTATTACATAGACATGTAACCACAGTAGAAAATAAACATAGCATATTTTATAGAAGAAATGTCACCTTTCTCCTGTAAATGGCTGCATGATTGTCCCGTAGTCTTCAGAGTTCTGGGATTGTAGGTGGGCACATGTATAATTGAATTTTTATGGAATGAGTACTAGTTACAGGTCCCATAAGAATATAAGCATGGAGCTGGAGAGAAGGCTCAGTGGTTAAAAGCACTGTTTGCTCTTCCAAAGGACCCGGGTTCAACTCCCAGGACATGGCAGCTCACAACCATCTGTAACTCAAGTTCCAGGTGGTCTGACACCCTCACACCAACGCACACGAATAAATTATTATTAAAAAAAAAAAAAAAAAAAAAAAAAAAAAAAAAAAAAAGCCAGAAGCCTTGCTTTAAGATTACAGCTGATGAAAAGAACCAGGAAGTGTCTCGGGAACTAGACCTAAAAGCAACTGGGCTAGCCTAAGCTTCCTTGGGCTTGTAGCTCCCTCTTCTCAATACCTGGAACTTGGATGGCTGCCCACCAAAGGCACCGCAAGGAGAGCAGCCAATGCCAAACATGGGCATCTCCAGAGGGAAGAGGGTTAGCCGCACCAGCCATGTACTGTAGCTGGGTGAAGGTAAAGGCCCGAGGTGGGTGCCACAAACTAGCTGCGATGGGTTTCGTCCCGCTCATGGTGGAGACTGCACCACTGTGCAGACCCTGACCTCTAAGTGAGACGAAGACGGATGCTTTCATGTGGTAGCACTGGGCCTCACTTAACCTCTGTTGAAACAGGAGTCTGCCTTGATGATAAAAGTGACACATGAACACACACCAGGCACATACATCAAAGCCTTGCTAATTTAACAATGTACTTTATACAAAATAACCAGTACATATGGAAATAAATCTACAAGATCTCCAAAGATCAAAAAAGCTTTTAAAAAAGTTCTTTCAAGAAACTATCCAACACACAGTATCAAACTAACTATTGAGGTAATTGTCGCTCTCAGTGAAACAGCAGGGAACCAGCAGACCATGACACAATATATACAATATAAAAATAAATACCATCCCCCCTTCCAGCCCTGGCCCTGACAGTTCATAGGGCATTCTTTTTCCTAGCAGGTCAATGACTTACACTGTGTGCAGATTGGTGGAGCATGGCTGGGGACCCCAGCAGCTGTTCACGCATCAAATGAGAGGTACCCCTTGCCCAGAGAAGTGAAGGGGCTGTAAGAGGCTATAGTATGAGATGGAGGGAGGCAGCACTTCAAGAAATTACTCAATATCCATACAGCTGTCCCCATGGAACTCCAAGGGGGACTAGGGAATAAGAGCAGCCAACTTAAGCCTAACCAGGAGAAGGCTCATTGTCACACCTCACCTAGCGAGTATGTTTGGCCCAAGACGACCAACAGAGAAAGACCAAGAGCTTAGCACCAAGGCAAAGCTTGGCTCAGCCTCACTGAGATTGGGAATGCAACCTGTCTTTTCAAAGTGAAGGTCTACCTCAGCTCCTAAGGCTCTACAGAGCTCAGTGCACTGCAACAGAAAAAGGTAGGCCAGTGCTTTCTCACCAAGTGAGAACCAACATCTGTCACGTTTATACTTCTTGCGGTCTTTTGTTTGTTGTTTTAATTGAGTCTAAGTTTTGGCCTGGATCTAGACTAAGCAGACCTTGAACTCAGATCTATCTTCCGGCCTCTGCCTCCTGGGATTAAAAGCCTTTGCCACCATGCTGGGCCCTCATTTGAACTAAAGCACTGCTATAAATTAATAGGGAAAAAATGCCTCTGCATGTGGCCACGGAGGGAACTGTAAAGAACGCCAGAAGACCAAATGACGTTATCTGAAACGCCTGAGGATTTTGACCTCGGGTTTAAGACTCTGGTTTAAGCCTTCCCGTGAAATTTCAAGTTTCTTTTTTGGTTGTTGGTGGTAACTAGGGATTGAAACTAGGGCCTCAAGTATGCTGCACAAATGCTCTACCACAGAGCTATACCCTAATTTTGAGACAGTGTCTGACTAAGTTGCTCTGAACTTGTGATCCTCCAGCCCCAGCCTTTGAAAAACCGGGATTACAGGCCCATAACAGCAGACCGGTCTCAGGTCTGTTTTATTTTGTACTTCTGGGGATTGAACACAGGACCCTCTACCTGCTGGGCAAGTACTCCACCACAGACCTACAACCCCAGGACCCCAGTCAGTTCTTAAGAGCAATTTATCATTCAGTCTGACCAAGTGATAAGACTTGGAAGTCTTGTTGGTAGTAAACCTGGTGCGAACCACATCTGAGATATCTGTGTGTTTCAGACTACATTTAACATGCATACTTTTTGATTCCAGTAGAAGTTAACATAAATAACAACCATACAGTAAACTAATGCCATTGGATGACACCACCACATGGCCAGGTAAGAGGAAGGCTTGAGCAATTGAGAAGTCTCACTGAGCTGAGGGATGAAGAGAGTAGGTCTTACAGGTTTTCTGTAGACAATTTACGGACTAGCATTTGAGGTTTACACTTTGAGAGCAGCTGGCCTGGGCCTAGGCTCAGTGTGAACTGAGAAGCAGTTCACAGGCTCAGACAGGTGCACCACCAGATCACCCCAAAACCTATCTGGCTCAGAAGGCAGAGTGGCTGCACCTCTATTCTTAAGAGATAGTACAGAAAGTTACATGAACAACTGCGTATTTTATCCTAGTCACATTTTTCTAAGGTAAGGAATTTTTGCTAACAGCTCCTGTTATTTTTTACTTTTTTTTTTTTTTTTAAATAAGAAAAGGATCTCACAGTGGGGCTGGAGTTTGGGGACAAAGACACATACCCATAAGCCTTCTAAAAGGGTCTACTTTTCTTTGTTCTAGGCCGTAAAGGTCCTAAGTTCTGACTAAGTCTGGTAAAGCTAAGTCTAACCTTAAATTAAAGAGTACTTCCAATTATGCACAGCTGTGTCCTCTGAGGGACCACTGAGAGTCAGCATACTGTCAAGGTCACAGTGACCGATGGGTACAGGTCCCAGTTCAAGAGTGAATCTTTTAAGACACCTTTACACACTTCTTTCTAATCATTCCATCTCGCGTAGCCACCATCTCCCTACTGAAGAAGACTGCAATTATTTGCATCTGCTTAACACACGTGGAAGAGAAGTGCTGGAAGAAGAAAGGTAAAAATAAAAGATCTTGTCTGCGTTTGAGTGGGTGAGGGGCTCACAAAGCTCACCATCGTGTTCTGGCTGCTCCAGGACACCTAGCATTTCAAAGACCAATAAAGTTGGGGTCAGACCAGGGAAGGAGGTATTAGGTGCGTAAGCACTAAAGCACCACCAAATCTCCACAGCACACAATAGGCTCTTCTTTCAGTGTTAGAACAGTAAGTAGTTCCATTTCCTGTTTAATTTCCTCCATAAACCAAGAAGGGATAAAGGAACTCACCAATTCTTCGTCCCCAGTATTGTTCACAGCATTTCTTTTTTTATGTTTTTTGTTTTTTTTTTTTTTTTTGAGACAGGGTTTTTCTATGTAGCCTTGGCTGTCCTGGACTCACTTTGTAGACCAGGCTGGCTTCAAACTCACAAACTCACCTGCCTCTGCTTCCCAGAGTCCTGGGATTACAGGCATGCACCACTGCACCCAGCTCGTTCACAGCATTTCCTTAGGAACAGTTAACAGGTGAAATGGGGAGGTGGAAGCAGCTTAGCAACCTCCAGTCTTAGCGCCTTCAGAGAGGCCTAATGGTTGCGGTATTCCGAGTGAAATGTACAGGCTCCACCATTAGTGGCAGACACAGAATCTGTATTAGCTGGCTAAGTTGGCTTATACAGTCCCAGCAGACCAAGATGCACCCAACAATTCTACCTCATTACTCTTCTAAACTGGATTGCAGGTGTCAGGCTTCTGATTCAGCTCACGTGGAAAGAAAACTTCCTATGTGTGGCATACCTGGGAGGCGCCGTCTGGTCCTCCTCAGCAACACCACCAGGTTAGTGAGCAGTCACTTCCATTAGGAAAGCAGGTGTCTTAGGGCCCAGTGATCTCTGCAACCTGGACTACTGTTTCCAGTTTCTTTCCCTTCCCTCCTCACACATTTGGCAGACGAGTCTGCCTTTCCTGAGGAAGATGGAACTGGAGGGAAGCTTTCCATTGACGCTTTCCCACACTTAAACTTCTAAGAAACTAGGACAGAGTAGTATTTTATGGAGATCTCTATTACCCCAAAGCATATTTTAAAATTAGATCCTTTTACAAAGACTTGCAACTCCAGGGCATTTCCCTTGGTTTATTCTGTGTGGGATATTCAAGAATTTAAACAAAGGTCCTAACTTTGGTGACATCTCAGCTAAAATAAAATACAGAAGTCTAAAGTAGGGAGAATCCAGTGTAATTAATTTCTAATCCATAGTAATGTAATTTAATACTGTAAAATTGTTCCCTATCATAGACATAATAATTTGCAAGACCTAGCCCTTGACAGCTTTAAATCAACATGACTGCGTCTACTATGATTCACTTAAACTGAATAAAAACTATACATACTGAAGTAGTCCTAAATTCAAATTTAAATCTATACGATATACTTTCCTTTTTCAAACCTGTGCAATTTCTTTATTGAGACTAACATACATAACAAACCTGAGTAGTCACTTTCACAAAACGTGATTTGTGCTAGAAAGCGTGTGATGGCTTCTAGATCACAGGCCTTTAGGCCCATGAAGAAGCCACTTTATTTTCTAGTAAGTAAAACACTCTATAGAGCCCAAATTCCTGGTTTACAACTATGTGGTAGAGATGGCAGAAAAATCAGGAAGGGCCATGCATTCCCAAATCTAGAACTAGGGCCACCAGAGTGTAAGCAGCCTGTCCAATGGCTGAAACACCCAGTAGGCCACATGACAGCACCTTCCACCAAACTGAGAAGCGAATGCTGAGAAGGACAAGCAGTCTCTGAGGCTGGCTGGAAAGGAGGCTACTAGGAAAACAAGTCAGTGGCCGAAACCCCCTGGGCCTCTTTTCCAAGTTCCATAAGCATTCAGTGTGACCTGACTGTACAAAGACAGGGACTGATCCAGTACTGTGTGCCTGCCGCAGCTGGGAAGGGCTCCCAGCTCCATGTGCCCACCTGACTGTCCCACTCTATATACAATACCACACACACACACACACACACACACACACACAGGCAACATGAAGCTTCTGTAAACTGGACCCAGCTCCAAAAACATTAATACTACAAGTAGTCCCTCCCCAAATAGATACCTGAGATTAGCTGCTCATTAGAGTTTAAAAGCACCACTCCAGCCTCACACGCACCCTCTACCCAAGTTTAGAGTGATTTTCCCTGAACAAGAGTCTTGGGGATTAGAGAAGTCGGCAAGAACTCCAGGTACACTTGCTCTTGTTAAGCATGTGGGCTGTGTGGGCGATTCCAGCCACGGCCCTGTCAGTCTCTCAAGAGCGTGCACCTAAGGCTTAGGCAGGTCCTCTGAGGATGGCTTCATTCACAGCAGAGATGGAGCAGATGGCAGAACAGAGATGTACAACAGTCACTCCTCCAAGTCCTCCAAGGCCTGCCTGCCTGCCTGTCTTCGCGGGCAGCTGTCATTTCCTTGGGCTCATTTCCTCCTTGGACTAGCTCTGAAAGTAACAAAAATTAAATCACATCAATTGACTAACAATGGGTTCAGGTTGCAGTTAGGTTAGGGTTTAACTGAGTACCTCAAAAAACGTACTCAGGCCGCCTATACTACTAGTTTCCCCCTAGAGGCTGGCCTGAGTCCTGAATCTCCAATTTGTACTTAGGCCACAGTGCTTAGTAGTTGGAAAGAAAGAAACTAAAAATACCAAATGTAGTTGTGCACATTTTTAAACTTAGCACTTGGGAAATGGAGGCAGGAGGACCAGAAGTTTAAAGTCACATACTGAATTTGAAGTGGCTTAGGCCACATGAGATCCTCCTCAAAAACAAACAAAAATCAACTACCAAACAAAATATTTCCCCACCCCCACGAAAGCTATGCATAACTCAGGAATAATCAAAGTACTCAGCTAGGACTCAGTAGTCCCCTTGGTTCTATTCCCCAGCATCATAATACCCACGAACAAAAGAAACTGTTGAGGCTGTATGAAAAACAAACAATCCCAGGTCTCGGAAAAATGAGGTCAGGTACAGGTTCAATATTCTTTATTCCAATACTGAAAGCGCAAGTTTTTCATTTAAGATAAGGTCTCCTTGGGCCTGGCAGTTAGGAGCACTGGCTGCTCTTCCAGAGCACCAGGGTTTCAATTTCCAGCACCCACTTGACGACTCACAGGTCTGTAACTCACTCTGTAAACCAGGTTGGCCTCAAACTCAGAGATCTGCCTGCCTCTGGCTCTTCAGTTCTGGGATTAAAGGCATTCACCACTGTCTGGCTAATCCAAAATTTTTTTAAAGATTTTTTTAAAAAGATTTTTTTCATATTTATTTATTTGCATGTACACCTGCATTCCAGAAGAGGGCATCAGATCCCACTATAAATGGTTGTGAGCTACTCATGTAGTTGCTGGGAACTGAACTCTGGACCTCTGGAAGAATAGGCAGTGCTCTTAACTACTGAGCAATCTCTCCAGCCCTAATCCAAAACTTTTTAAGCCTAGAATAGAACAAGAAAAAAAGTCACATTCTGTAGCATTTTGGGCTTCAGGTTTTCAAGTTAAGTATATCATATAGTAAAGTGCATCCAAATACCCCAACATCTAGAAACCTGAAGTATCCTGGGGCCCAAGGTACCCAACTTGCATGAGTTTGAAAATTCTCTAGTTTTCAGTAATTCTTACCTGATCCAGAGGAAGTGTCGGGGGCTTATGTGGTGGCAACTGTTCTGGTGATGCTGCAGGTACCGGGGTCTTTGGGAATAAAGACTGTGACTGGATTGGATGCATGTGCATTCTATAGCCAGAAGAAAAGAACAGTTAAGAGTTAATGAGGACCTACTAAGAGAGCAGATACTTCAATACTGAAGACACTGCTGTAATTAGCAAGGTGGTAAATGTGGGAGCATCGATACTGGGACGAAACGGCAAGACCCTAAACCAAACACATTACAGCCAACACAGAAACCAATGAACAAACATAGCATTGGGAATACTCTCCTTGGAGAACTGGGCCGAACTCTGAGAAACAAGACAATAGTATTAAAGATTTGTATATAGAGACTTAAACAAATACCACAAACAAATAAAAATAAATACCCAAGCCTTAACTGGAAAACTGGACTATGGAGCAGGAAGAAATCTAAAGAGCAAAAGCAAATCTCTGCAAGACATGGAGGAATTTAAGGACATGATGGTGACCACCATGCTTTTTCTTGAGTGTGGTACTTCTACTTTGAGAGTGTTGCTAGGAAGTATGCTGATACTTAGGTGATACACACCAAGGAACTTAGGGCTGCAGCGGAAGCTCCATTGGCAAAATAAAGCAACAAAACAGAAGCAGCTAGTTACTTAGAGATGTGCAGAACCAGTAGGCAAGCAGAGAGTGGTAGTGTGCTTGGGAGGCAGCGGCTGGTGGGTCTCTGAGTTGGGCCAGCCTGGCCTACATATGAAGCCCCAGGTCACCCAGAGTTACACAGTACGACTCTGCCTCAAAAACAAAAGCATGCTGACATCTTGGTGCACACCCTTACCCCAGCATTTGGGGGGCAGAGGCAAGCGGATCTCTATGAGGTAGGAGGCCATCCTGGTATACACTCAGAGTTCCAGGACAGCCAGAAGCACGTAATAGAAGGTCCCTGTTTCAAAAAAAACAAAAACAAAAACAAAAACAAAACACCCAACACACAACCAAACAACACGCCACCCCCTCCCCAAAAATGACAACAGTAGCCAAAATGTAAAATGTGAAAGCGACTGAATGTGGCACACACATGTAAGTCCCAGCACTAGGAAGGCCGAGGCAGGAAAAAGGAGTTTCATGCAGACTGGGCTACTGGGCGAACATCTGTCTCAGACAGATACGAACAATGGTGGGACACAGTTTTTAAATTGAATGGTACAATGATTGGGCTTTATAGTCTTTGAAATAACTTTACTAGACTATATTTTTAAGACAATTATATGTGGTTCAGTCAGACCTTGAACTTGGTTATGTAGCAGAGGATGACCTTCTTTTCTGAGACAGGCTCTTATTATCATGTAGGCCCCTAGCTGACCTCAAAATCAGGGATCCTCCTGCCTGCGTGATTAAGGCTGTGCACTACCACAACTGGCTGACCTTGAACTCTTGATCTTGTCTCAGACTTCCAAGTGCTAGGACTATAGTTTGAACCCCCAACCTGGATTATCTTTTATACTATTAATTTGGGTTTTTCCTGTGAATTACAACTTTGGGTAGCAGGTATTCACGTTAATAAGTTTCTTTTTCCCCTTTTGAATTTTCAAGACAAGGTTTCTCTGTTTAATGGCCCTGGCTATTCTGGAACTAGCTGTGTAGACCAGGCGACTCAGATCTGCCTACCTCTGCCTCAGAGTGATTGGGACTAAAAGCAAGCAACTACCCACCTGGTTCCTTACAGGTTTCTAAGAAAGGTATCACTAACTCTTCCTAAGAACAGCATTTATTTGTTGTGCTTCTGGACTGTTTGTTTTTATTTACTAATAGGGGAGGAATGAGAGCAAAATGTCACCGTACATACTCAGGCTTCCTAGGGCAGACGCTCTTTACCCTCGGTCAGCGTCCAGTCAACCAGGCGGCGGTGTTAACCGATCTCTGCCCACAGCTTCCAAACTACAGTTACTACTATGCAACATCAACCTCTTTCCTTAACAGGCCAGGCATGGTGGTGCACACTATAGTCCTGGGCTGAGGGAGGTCTCCTGAGGGTTTGGGGCCAGCATGGGCTATACTGTGAGCCCTGGTTTCAAAACAAACAAACAAACAAACAAACAAGAAAACCCAAAAACTAACCCCCTCCAATCTTTTCTATTTTTTTAAAAATAACAACAACCCCAATCATTTGAATACTAATTAAGGAAAAATAAGTTCTGGAGTTAGTTATCTACCACTACAAAAAGAATGAATCCAAGTGTTGACTCATTTTCACCAGGGGAAAGAAATGGCAAAGACGAAACTATGATCTATTCTCCATCAAGTCTGTCACTCAGATGTGTGTCACTTATCTTCACTCCTAAAGCCACTTTGATTTTTTTTCAGAGAAACCCAATGCAGCCTTACCCTGATGGTCTGTGCACTTCTTGAAAGGATCCCCTTATTCCACTTCCAGAGCCTGTCTGCTCCATCACTGCAGCCTGAACGTGACCAAAGTCGTCGTCCTGACAGCGGTAGAGAGGGCCCTCTGCAGAGAGGCCATTGGGCTGAGTGGCCACTTGATGGGGAGGTGGATGGGCAGCTACAGGGGATGGGTATGCCCTGGGCTGAAAATGACTGGCTGGACGCTGAGGAGTGTATGGAGACCCTGTCTGCAGCATTACACCGTGGGGAGGAAAAGCCGGTGAGCCGAAAGTCATTCCTGAATTCAGAGGTGGCGGTGGTGTTCCATAAAGATAGTCACTGGCGGACAGTGAGCTCTGCCGCTTCGTAGCTGCATTATGGTTGTCCAGATCTAAAAATTCTTTGGGACTCTCTGGCCTATCCACAGATTCATCTATCTTCTCTTCCTCTGGACCAGAATTCTGTCCATCAGATGGAACAACTTTAGCAGCCACTGTATCCATTTGAGTTGGAGAAGCTAAGGCAGCATTTAGTGTCTCACAACCTTGCAGGCTAGGCAAGGCATTCTTATCTGCGAAGAGGGGGCGTGGAGGATGACTCCCTGCGGCTCCACTTGGGCTTCTCTGGGAAGGGAGAGATCTCTGCCAATCAGAAAAGCCCTGTGGGCAGGTATAATAAGGAGTCCGCTGATAAGGGTGGTAGGAGGACTGAGAAGATGGCTGATAGGAATACCTCATTCCCTGTTGGGGGCGATACCGGGGAAAGAGTCCAGGATGAGAACTATTAGGCTGGAAACTCCTGGGAGAGAAGGGCTGAGGCTGGGATCCTGGGGACTTTCCTCCCACCACAGAGCCTAAGCCTTGCAGACTTGGGTTCGTATGGTAATGTGTAGCTGAATTAGAGTATTCTAGGCCAGGCATGTACAAAGGAGAAAAGTGGTTCACAGTGCCTGCCATCAAACTGGGATCTGTGCAAGGAGGTGTAGTTGCATTCTGTCCTGTACATGGCATGGTTTCCTGCAATGTTTTACCCCTGGAGCAGAGTGGCTTTTCTGAACCACAGCCACCAAGGCCCTTCCCCTCTGATCTACAAGGAGATGCTTCACCAACAACCCCATTTTCAGGTAGAGTCCCCCTGTCTGCAACTATGGAGAGGTCTCTCAAACAGCCTTGCACAGCTGGGCTGCTGTAGCTGTTGTCCAAAGGCCAGGTGTTCTTGCTCTTTGATGGTTTGTAAGTGTCTGCAGTGTCTGCAGCATCACTTTTGACTTCTGCGTCCTCTGTTTCCCTCTCTTCTGGAGAGCTTTGCTTGGAACAGCTGGCTTGCAGGGGAGGCACTGAGTGAGGTAGCTGCTTGAGGTATACCCCCTCTGAAGCACAAATGCTTGCTGCTTTCTCTTCAAGTCCAGACAAAGGCTCTGCTGGGGAGGGAGGAGAAAAAAAACAAAACAAAACAGTAAATCGGTAGTTGAAATGACAACATCAATGGACCGAGTAATGGAAAGCAGGCAGATGAATAGGGTCAAGGCTGAGATGACATTCGGCAATTTAAACAGCACACCACCTTTTATAGGCAGAACACTGCACCTCTAAGATACCAAAAAAACAGATGACTGGGTCTCTATGTTATCACAGTCACTCTAGAAAGATGGCAAGAGATAACCTGCCAGTACAGACCTGCAGGTAGAGGAATCTGAAATATGTAGGAGAATGTGGTCCTTTTCCAGAAGAAAACATTCAAAATTATGATCTAGTATCTTACAGACCTAATATCAATTTCATGTGGAATTTTCATCACCTCCCCTAAAAGTTCAAGAGACTCCATTCCCCCGTCAAATATTAAACAAAATCATATACATCATATACTGGACAAGTAAGCAAGAAAGGATTATTTTTTATGAGCCCCCTCTCCCCCTAAAGACAGAGCCCTGGCTGCTCTGGATTCACCTTGTAGACCAGGCTGGCCTCAAACTCATAGATCCATCTGGCCTAACTTTATGGCCTTTAAAGAGTATTACTAAGAAACTGTTTCATCATTTATTAGAACCCACTGTTCTTCATTCTTAAGTATTCATAGCAGATGGAAATAACACCCTGAAAACATTTCATAATAATAATTTTCAAGACAGTCATGTTCAAAAGGCTCTGTGAGGGGGCAGCAATTAAAAACACACGGCTGAGGCTGGAAAGATGGTTTAGGGTTAAGAGCACTTTTACTGCTTTTGCATAGAACCTGGATTCAGTTCACAGGACCAAGAAAGCAGCTTACAACTACCTATAACTTCTGCTCCAAGTAATCTGATGACCTCTTTTGGCTTTTATGTCCTGTAAGGCTCCTGGACATATATGGAGCCTTCGTAAGAAAGGCTCACAACTTACATATCACCCACACAAGCAACGTGATGCTGCCTACCTATACAGGCTCAAACTCGGCTCCAACACTTTCTCATTAGCTAACAGCAATCACTGTGAGCTGGCTTTCTCAAATCTACAGAATGACACCGAACAGAGGCTTACAGACAGCCATGCTGGGCTGCAAGTCTTCCAGGTTTTCTGAATTATTCATAAAAGTGTAACTTCTTCCAGGATCACTGGCCCCCTCTCCAGATCCCGACATGTTTTTCTGTTTAACAGCCCCAGCTGTCCTGGAACTCACTTTGTAGAGATCTGCCTGGCTCTGTCTTCCAAGTGCTGGAATTAAAGGCATGTGAAAACTGCCAGCTCTTCTCCTTTCTAAGCAAGCTTGCAAATAACCCGGCCCCGATATTTAGGGTTTCCTTACTCCTTCTGTAAAGCTTCTACCCTAGGTATTGGCACTTCTTGCCAAGTGTCTGATTTCCATATCAGTTTAAATGACATGGGTTTTTCCTTCTCTCCTCTGCCTTTGGGGAAGAGGTGAGACTTTAAAGCTAGACTGCTCTGTGGTTTTTCTATTAAACTATAAAATTATCTTTGAACTCAAAAGACAGACAACACACACACACACACACACACAGAGGATGGGCATGGTGATAATGCCCTATGGTCAGCACTTGTGGAGATGGAGACATGAGGGACCATCAAGATGGCTCATCTGGTAAAGGCAGTTACTGCCAAGCCTGAGGACCTTAGTGCAGTCCCTGGGACTCACATGATACAGAAAACTAACTCCCTACAAGGTGTCCTCTGACTCCGAGGCACACCCACCCCCAATTAAAAGCAAACAACACAAATCCAAAGACATTGGTTAACAGCTTAAACAAAGGCATGTTCTAATTAAAAGGTTTACATTAAAAAGTTGCAAAATGAGGCTTGGTGGTGCACACCTTTAATCCCAGAACCGGGAGGTAGAGGCAGGGGGATCTCTTTCAGTTTGAAGCAAGTCTGCTCTAAAGTTCCGAGACAGTCGGAGCCAGAAAGATCTATAAAAAAAAACAAAAACAAAAACAAAACAAAAAAAAAACCATACACAAATAAACAAACCAAAAACTTTTTTCCTTAGGCTGTATATTCATTAATTATGCTCTTCATACTTCTATACCTAAAGGAGGTGTAGCTGCATTCTCTCTATACATGGCATCGTTTCCTGCAATGTTTTACCCCTGGGGCAGAGTGGCTTTTTTCTAAACTACTGTATATTCATTAATTATGCTCTTGATATTTCTATACCTAAAGGGTTTTAATTATCCCAAACTTGAGTAGTTTCTGGGAGAGGCTTGACACCATTTTGTATGTATCTTCATATGCTGTATGAAAAGACTATTCATGAGTTGACACACAAAAGTTGGGAGAAAAAAAAAGTAAAAAAGGCATGGTAAATTACCTCGGTCATTCTCAGGCTCTTGTGTTTCACTGGTCTCCTGTGTGTTCCCAGGGTTGTCCAATGCAGGCTTGGGGGCTGACACACATACTGATGCTGAATGAGCTACCTGTGGAAAGGGACCAGGTAACTGTGGAGGAGTGGGCTGGCGGGGATGGTAAGGCACACCTGGGGGACAGACTCGGGAGGACAGCTGCTGCATGGCAATCATTTCAGGGCTGTCCATCATTGATTCCCCTCCTTGTACCCCCCGGAGAGGTTGGGAGGGTCCTCCAAATAGAGGACTTGGTGCTGGAGCTGGAGGTGGCTGCAACCGATGTCCAGCAGACTTACAGGGTGGCTGCATATACCCCGAGGAAGAAACTCCATGAGGCAGAAAGCCTGACTGTTTAGTCCACTGGTTTGGTGGGATAGGTGGTCTCATCACTCGGCCATCCATCATATGACCAAGGGTATGGGGATGGTGAGAGGGTCCTGGCCCCAGATGGGGCTTCTCATCTGGCCCCAAACGTCCAGGGTTTGTAACCCCATGGTTCCCGTTCCAGACAGCAGGGTGTACTCTATTCAGATACTTGTATGAATGATAAATGTGACCAGGAGGAATTTCTGAGTTTTCAGCAAAGTCAGGAGGTCGGGCTGGAGTCCCACCATGCCTAGCAGAAATAAATCCTGCCTGGAATGGAGAGGGTGGATAAAGGTTTCCATCTTGACTGGAACAATTCATCTGCCCAAGCTGCAAGGAGGGGGGATGTGACCCCATGGAAAGGTGTGTTAGGCCCCCACACATCTTCTCTTCAGGAGCACTGAGCCGGGGTCCTCGGTGGTTACTAATTCCAACTGGAGCCTGACAATAGAAAAGGTAAAAACAGAATTAATCACATTCACAGAACAAGACAGACCTTGAAAGACACTTACTTCACCTAGTGGGACAGATTTCTCAGCAGGGAAAAGGCTGAATTAAATTTAATGTGGGAAGAAACTCTCTCTCAATTATGACTGAAATAACCTTCCCAGCTGTCCTTGCAGACTGCTTACCTGTATAGCAAAAGGTGGGTGCTGCAAGGGCTCTCCTGGGGGCACCTCTGGGACTCGAGAGGAGCCATATAAGCTGGTAGGATCTGATCCTTGAAGAGAACGAAATGTTCCTGGTGCTGCTGGCCGCTGAAGGCAGTGAGGAAAGCAGAAAGAGGGATGAGGAAAGAGAAGCAATAGGGAAAGCAGGGGATTCTCTAACGACTGCCATTAATGTGCCCCATGGCCAGGAATAGCACCTCACCGGAAAGCAGCTTCTCTTTCCAGGAAAAGCATTTGTCTCTTATTTTAAACAACACCTTACCCATCACAAATAAAGCCATTTGAAGCATTTTGGATCCAAGTACATTACATATTTTTAGGATAGGGTCTCTTGAAGTCAAGCTGGCCTCAAACTTGCTACGTAGCTGGGGATAACCTTGAACTTCTTTCTAGCCTTCCTCTTCCCCCGTCCCCCTCTTTCATTTTTTAAGACAGGGTTTCTCTGTGTTAATAGCCCTGGCTGTCTTCGAACTCTCACTGTAGACCAGGCTGGCCGCAAACTCAGAGAGACCTGCCTGCTTCTGCCTCTCAGGTGCTGGACCACCAACAGGCCCATCTCCATCTCTTCAGGGCTGGCGTCACGGGTGGGCACCATACCCACTATTCCAGTGTTGGGGATCACACACATGGTTTCAACTACAACCCAGCTCCTCATAGCAAAATGTCAATGCTTCAAACACAGTATGTGGCTTATATACTAGGCTTCTGTGCTTTGTTTCTGTGTTTCTTTCTGAGACAGAGTTCTCACTATTAGGCCCAAGGCTGGTCTCCAACTCTCTGGAATCAAGTGATCCTCAAAACTCAGCTTTCCAAAGTAGCCAGGAATACTGGTGAAAAATCAAGCCTTTCTAATCCCAACTTTTGTCCACTTTGAGAATATACAATTCAAAGAAAAAAAAAAAAAAAGAGAGAGAGAATCTAAATGAAGAAAGGATGACCATGAGGATAGGGTATATGTGAGGAAAAACTATCTCATTTGTGAGGTACAGACAGGAAGACCAGAAAGTCAAGGCATTCTCAGCATTCACTACACAGCAAGTCCAAGGTCATCCTTGTGTTAGATGAGACTCCGTCTCCAAAACCAAAATAAACCCATCTACAGCAGTGGTTCTCAATTTGCAGATCGTCATGCCTCTGGGGGATTGTGTAAAACCATCTGTGTATCAGACATTTACATTACAATTGATTACAGTTCTAGGGCTGGAGAGATGGCTCAGAGGTTAAGAACACTGGCTGTTCTTCCTAAAGGTCCTGAGCTCGAATCCCAGCAACGACATGGTGACTCACAACCATCTGTAGTGAGATCTCGTGTGCAGGTGCACATGCAGGCAGAACGCTGTATAAATATAAATAAATAAATCTTAAAAAAAAGTAGAGTTCTAAAAAAGCAACAAAAAGCAATTTTTGGAGATCACCAGAACATGACGAATTGTAGGTCGCAGTATCAGAGGGTTGAGAACTACTGATCTCTGGTTATCTAACGACTCTACTAGTCACTAGCCCTTGGATTCCTATAAAGCACTGGCTTGGAGACGTTTTTTCTTACCATCTGGTTTAAAGGGAGTGCCTGGTTAGGCACCCTACCATAGTGCAGGGTGTGGGAAAAGCCTTGGCTATTTGATGTGCCCACCTCTGGAGGGAGTTGTGTAGAACTGCTCCTGTGACCATCCCCTGAGGAAGCAGCTCGGCGTGCAGGGGGCAATGATTTCCCTCCATTCTCCACTGGTGGCAGCTTCCTGCTGGGACCTTCTGAGTCTTTTGAGCGAGTCCAAACATGGCTTCCACTACCTCGACCAGCCCGACTCCTTCTTTTTTCCCGTTTTTCATCCTCTCTGATCCAAAATTCTTCATCTGTGTCTCCATCTTCACCAGGAAAATGTTTCATCATGGCCCGATGGAAACACCTCTCTAAATTGTCAGACATCTTGGTATATTCTAGAAGGAAGACATGAGGAATGATCTCCAAGTACATTAAAAACAATTACTGAAAATAATAAAGAAATCTACTGGGCTAAACTCTGAGTTTTAACTTACCTCTGGAAAATATTACACTGCAAAGATACAGGCACAATACGAAGATCTGGTTTTAGAATTCTGCTCAAGGAGGTATAACTGTGACATAACAGGAACTCTAGTATGTCACCTCAAATAGTAAAAATTGAATTATTTTAGGCTAGGTTAACTGAAACTACTAAATACTATAATTGAATTTGCTTTGTTTTTTAGGCTGCAGCATTTTCGTATTGATGCATGAATATTCCCAAGTTTCAGGATCGTTAGAAAAGTTATGCCAGTTTTCAAAGTGATTTAAGAAAGAGAATTAAGAGATATGGCTCAGTGGTAGAATGCTTGCTAAGCATTCAAAAACCACTAGATTCCATCTGCTATGCAAAAGATGGGTTCAATGGAGATTGAATTTTGTCTGTAGTAAAGAGACTCAGGACAACCTAGATCAGACCTCTGCTAGACTCTTTTTCTCCAGAAGGCTAAATGAGAATTCCTGGGGCACTGTTTAAGAAACTGAAACAAGCAGCTGGGCACATTGGCACACACCTGTAATCCCATAAAGGCAGGAGGATCTCTGTGAGTTCGAGGACAGCCTGGTCTACAGAATGAGTGCAGGACAGCCAGGGCTACACAGAGAAACCCTGTCTAGAAAAGCCAAAAAAAAAAAAAAAAAAAAAAAAAAAAAAAAAAAAAAAAAAAAAAAGAAAAGAAAAGAAATTGAAACAAGTCCCATGGCTGTTAGTGTACATTCCGCTTGTAGTCCTAAGGCAAAACAGAAAACCAGCACAGCGGCACACTCGAGCCCCCAACACTTTGCAAGATAAAAAAGTTTAAAGTAGGACTAGCGCGGTGGTTCAGAGGTTACAATCGCTTTTTACTCTTACAAATGACCTGGGTTTGGTTCCCCGCATGCACATTGTGGCTCACACTCATTTCTAAGTTTACAAGTCCAAGATGAGCTTGGGGTACAGAGACTCTGTCTCAAAAGAGAAAACATGAGTAGGCACTGCAGGATGAGACACACCTAGAGAGCATTTCATTCCCAACTGTAATAGCAGAAGATACACATCCAGCAAAAAGGCCCTTATCACCTACCACTACTGTCCCCATTGTATTTTCGACAATTTCTGAACATGGTCTTCATGTCGTTTACAAATTCCTCCTTTGTACAATATAACCCTCCATTTAATTTCTTCTCCATGGTTGAAATATCCATGGGAATCTAAAATAGAACACATGACACTTTAATTAAAACATGCTGTAAGTGGCACAGTAGCTTTCTTTAATCCCAGCACTGAAACTCAGGAGTACAGTCCAGTCCAAAAACTTAGTAGTTTTGTAATGATGTCCAGGCTAATTTTGTTAACAGAGTGAAGCTTTATTTCAAAACAAGACAAAAACAATTAGCTGCATGGCCCCTTTAATCAGTTTTTATGAAGAAGAGGATCCTTGCATTTTAATTTTTCAAGAGTCTGGTGTAGCTGAGAGTATTGGCACATACTTTTTTTGTATTATTGGTTTCAAGACAGGGTTTCTCTGTGTTCCCTTCACTGTCCTAGACTCACTCTGTAGCCCAGCATAGTCTCGAACTCAAGATATCTGCCTGCCTTTGCCTCCCTGAGTGCTGGGATTAAAGGTGTGTGCTAAACTGGGCGCTGTGGTACACACTTTTAATCCCACCAACTCAGGGGGCAGAGGCAGGCAGATCTTTTTAGTTTGAGGCCAGTCTGGTCTACAGAGTGAGATCCAGATCAACCAAAAAGACTTTGTTGGGTTTTGTTAATGTCTCAAAACAAAACCCAACAGAGTTGTATGCATGTGTGCGTGTGTCCCCATCCATCCATCCATCCATCCAGTAGCCGTATTTTAAGAGGGACAGAAAAGCAAGAGGGAAAAAAAAAAGTAACTCATTATAGTCTGAATCTGAACTGACCTCACAGATTCCTACAATTTGAACAGCTGTTCTCCCAGCTAGTGCTTCTGCTTTAAGAGGCTGGGGAACTTTCAGGAGGTTGGTCTCCTTGGAGGGAGTGGGTCACTGTGGGACAGGGCCTTATGAGTTGTAGCATGCACCAGTTCAAGCCCAAAATTTTGGCTGGCCACCAAGATGTGAACAAGCTCCATCACCAGAGCTGCCTATTACCATAGCCAAAATAGGTACTGGGTCACTATGATGAAAAAAAGGACTAATATAAAACCCAAGCAAGATACAGACACTTAAGTACAATTTCAAAGATACCTTAATAATCTGGTAATAGTTTGGGGCATAAGATTCATCCACAGGTTCCAAGAAAGGCCAGGAATCCTTGTGAGCCTTTACCACATCGAGAACTGAAAGCCAAGAGGAGGACATAACTGACACATTCGCATGAAAAGATGTGCATCAGAAGTACCAAGGCTGAGAATGGAAACTAACCTTTATACATGGCAGTAAAATCGTCATCCAGTTCAAAGCTGTGAACCACAAAAGATGGTATTAGTTAACTCTGACCAATTTTTCTTAGCTCTTGATTCAAACTAGAACAAGCCGTTGTTTTTTACTCTCCTTAGTTAATTCCAACACTGATACCACTCACTGGAAAGAACGTAAGGATGGTAGATGGTTGACCTTAGCAAAAAGGACTATCAGATTCCCTATAATCAATTCCATCTATAAAGAAATAACTGGCTTAAATGTTTCTTATGACTCTGCAACTATTTCAAAGATCTATTTATTTATTTATTCATATATATATATATATATATATACACACACACACACACACACATATACATATATATATACATATATATATGTGTGTGCAATATTTTGCCTGCATGACAGAAGAGGGCACCAGATCTCATTATAGATGGTTGTGAGCCACCATGTGGTTGCTGGGAATTCCAATGCTCAGGACCTTTGGAAGAACAGCCAGTGCTCTTAACCTCTGAGCCATCTCTCCAGCCCCTGACTTTGTAACTATTAGCCAAAATTTTTATTTATTTTTATAAAGATAGGGTACTGTTATGTAGTCCAGGCTGACTCAAACTTCAGACTCTGCCTCAGCTCCTACAGAGCTGATGTTATTACCATGACTGGCTGTAACTGTATTGTTTTGTTTTCTTTTTATTTTTCTGAGATAGGCCTAGATGTTGTGTGCTATCTATACCAGGCTAGCCTGTAATTTACCAGCCTTTGTTAACCAAGTGGCGCTTAGTTTTCTTTTTTGAACCTTGTCTTCTTCCTGCCATGGTTCTATTCTGGCCTACCTTCAGCCCAGAAATTGCTCATGCCTGCTGGGGATCAGAATACCCAGCAAAAATTACTATTTTAAAAAGTAAAATGCTCACTGAACATGGCCGTGCACTTTTGTAACCCAGCACTGAGGAAGCTGAGGGAGCAGGATGGCAAGTTCTAGTCCTTAAACATAGGATTGAGTTTAGCCAAGTGCTAGAGTACTCTCTAGCATGCTTAAAGACTTGGAGGTTCAATACCTAGCACTACCAAACAAACAAATGTAAAATGTTCTACACACTTCCAAGAAACAATTTCTCATTAAATAAAAATTCGGGTGATACTGAAAATTTGAGGTAAGAGCTTTGTTAAAACCATCATTTCTTGTGCCAGCAGGATTTTAAGAGTAAAAGGAGAGAAGAGAATCACTTAAAGGGGGTGTGGGGGCATGAATGCATTTGAGTCAGGAGTAAATTTAAGGCCTGCCAAAGCTATATAGAAAAACACTGTCGGGGAGGGGGGAGGGGGGGAGGCCTACCACTAACCTTTGCTAAGCTTTCTTAACATTAAAATGGCAAAGCCACTGCCTCCCAAACAGGCCTGTCCATTACAAGGATTAAATGAGAGAGGTACTTTTTTTAAAACTAAGAATTTAATTTTTAATCATGTGTGTGCATTTGTGTCAGGTCCCCCTGAAGCTAAAGGGACTTGTGAGCTGCCATGTGGTAGCTGGGAAAACTCCAGTGACTTGGAGTTTTCCTAGGGAGTGTTAACTGCCGGACCTTTGGTTTTTTTAAGACAGGGTTTCTCTGTGTAGTTCTGGCTTTCATAGGATTGGTTCTGTAGACCCGGCTGAGCTCACATTCACAGATAACTGCCTGCCTCTGCTCCCTAAGCGCTGGGATAAAAGCCGTGCACTACTGCTACCTGGCTTTAAAAAATGACTTACTTATTGCGTGCACACACGAATGCATGTGTGCATCGGTCAATCCTCTCCCTATACCACACTTGTTCCAGGAGCTATAACAAAGGTCACCAGGCTCAGCAAGTGCTTGCAGAGGGAAGTGCTCACTAGCGTGGCCTGCTGCTCCTGTTGCTGTTATTAAATACTCACGGGTCCTTGGTCTTCTTTCCTTCCCTCATAGGAGAATTCAGGTCCAAATGGGAAAGTTCTGGGGGTAGCTCCTTGCCTTGAGCCAACAGCCATGCCCGTTCCTCCCTCAGCTTTCTCCTCTTAGCTCGATCTATAACCAAGACACAAACATGATCCAAATGAGCATCTGTACTTGCTGTTCCCTAGGCCTTCTTTTCTTAGAGCCCACCCTCACCATCAGCTACTCACTCTGCAAATTCATTAATTCTATTCAAGTGGCATAACTGACAGACACTCTGATAATCCCAGTTAAATGTCACTTTAATCAAGAAACTTTTTCTGAGACAGGTTAGCCTCAATCTCACTACGTAGACAAGACTTGAACTCTTGATTCTCCTGTGCTGGGATTTCATGAACCCACTTCTGAGCAGTCAACACCACCCATACTTGTACAATATTTGTTTATAAATTCCATAAAAGGAATACCTATTTTGTTTACTACCATAAACCTAGAATAATGACTGGTACAAAATGTGTACCTTAAAAAAAATGTCACTTTGGGGCCTGGAGAGATGGCTCGGTAGTCAAGAATACAGTCTGTTTTTCCAGAGGACCTGGATTCAGTTTCCAGCACCAACATGGCAGCTCACAACTGTCTGTAACTCCAGTTCCAGAGTAACTGACATCGTCACACCAATGCATATAAAATTAAAGAAATCACTTCAAAGAACCACCTCAGCTGAGCGTAGTCATACCTACAATAAGAGTGTTTGGAAAGCTGAGGCAGGAGGATTGCTGCAAATTCGAGGTCAACCTGGGCCACATAATGAAGCCATGTCAGAAAAGAGAGAGAGAGAGAGAGAGAGAGAGAGAGAGAGAGAGAGAAAGAGAGATTTTATAATATAAGTATTGTATTTCTTACCTGGAAGAAAAACCCATGAGGAGAGGGACAGAGCATGAAAGGAGGACACATGGACAAAACAAAACAAAACAAAACAAAACAAAACAAAACACCGATATACATTAAAACAGGTTCAGCTGGTTAATACTGCTATCCAAGAAAACCACTGAAGTTGTTACCCTTTGCTTTGTAAGACTATAGACAAAAACCCTCAAAAGGCAGAGAAGTAGGTAGACCTGTGAGTTCCAGGCCAATCTGGTCTATTTGATGTCCATGCCAGGTATGACTCCAGAGAGACCCTGTCTCTGACAAGTAAAAAAAAAGTATAGGCAAAAAAATCTTCAAAACAACAACAACAACCCCTTAATACATGAAGACTGCAGTTTGAGCCTAAGAAAACTACCTGGCACCGGCAACATTCTGGCATGCCACATTAAAGAAAATCTGGGTTAGATGTAGTTTGGTTGATAGATTGCCTAGCATGTAGAAGTCCTTAAGCATGAAGCACCACAAATCTGGCAGTGGTGCTACTCATCTGTAATTTTAGCACTTGGAGGTAGGTAGAACTTGTTCAAAGTGAGTTCAGTATCATTATGAGGCACACGCAACCCTGTCTAAACAACAACAAAATACCAGCAAACAAACAAGGCTTTCTTAAGCATATACTACTGTATCCATGAGAGTAATTGGCAATGTCTTAGTAGCTTTTTCTTTTATTTTCTTTCTTTTTCCCCACCTGGAGACAGGGTTTCTCTGTGTAGCCCTGCCTGTCCTCAAGATCTGCTTGCCTCCTGACAGCTGGGATTAAAGGCATGCATCACCACTTCCTGGACCTTTCTTTTTTAAAAATTCTATATAAAGTGTGTAGGACACAGTAGAAATCTAAATAAAAATCAAGTTACTTAAAGGCATACTGGGAATGAGAAATGGTTTGAACAGAATGTAAGGCGAACAAGACTGAATCAGATGAGTAAACATGACAGAATACAGTTTACAAGACACTTAAATAGAAATTGCCAGAAACAGCTAAGATGAAGGATGTTCTATAGCCCTGTCTTCTCACCCTTGAACCTCCACATACCTTCCACTGCCTTGACCTTTTCCTCCAATTCCCGCTTTCTCTCCTCTTTCAACATCTGCTCTTGCTCCTTCTTCTGCACTGCGAGAAGCAGCTGTCGCTCTTCCTCCTCCTCCTTGCGTTTCTGTTTTTCCTTGGTGAGCATGGGGGTCTCCTGTAAGAAGTCGAAAAGTACATGAAGGTCAACAAACAAGTGCAAGGCAATTCTTCACGGAATTAAGAGTTAGCTTACGGAATCAGCATACATTAATAGAGTACTTAGATCTCACATACAGATCGATTTTATTACCCATGAAATGTGTATATGAATGTACAAAATATACAAATATTAAAATATAATAGGAGGTGCATACCAGAACCCTAACACTGATGATTATAATTTTGAGGAGAGCCCAAGCTACCAAAAGCCTCTTTATTAAAAACAAAAAAAAAAACCGATGTTCATAGTGGTGCGTGCCTTTAATCCAAGCACATGGGAGGCAGAGTTCACAGCTAGACAGTGAGACCATGTCTCAAGTCAAAATGGGTTGGAAAAACAGGTTAGTGGTTAGGAGTACTTGCTGACCAGGCTCAGGCTTCCAGCATCCACACTGCCAGGTCTAGGGGACTGGACAACATTCTTCCGGTCTGCTTGGGAACTGCATACTTAGGATGTTCAGACATACATAAAGGCAAACATCCACACTCACAGAATGGAGCTGTGGGCTTGGTTTTGTTTTAAAAGATTTATTTTATTATTTTGCAATGTTCTACCTGCATTTGTGACAGCAGGTCAGAAGAGGACACCAGATCTCATTATCAATAGTCATGAGCCACCATGAGATTGCTGAAAATTGAACTCAGGACCTTTGGAAGAGCAGTCAGAGCTCTTTAACCTCTGAGCCATCTCTCCAGCCCGGAGCTGTGGCTTTAAGTTTTGGGGCCAATAGTTTATTTTTAAGCTTTTCTTTTCCTTTCCCTCTCTCTTTCTTCAGACAGGGTGTCTATGAAGTCTATCTAGGCTGACCCCAAATTCAGAGATCCTGTTTCTGATGGAATTAAAAGTGTGTGCTACCACACCTGGCTAACTTTTTTTTATTGGATAGGATCTAATCTTATAGTATAAGCTGCCCTGATCTTGCTCTTCAGAACAGGCTGGCCTACCTGATCTACCTGCCTCTGCCCAGGATTAAACATGTGCACCACCAGACCCAGCCTGTCTTGAGGTGTGTGTATATATGTGTGTGGCAGAGACACCAGCTACTTCCTTTTGGACAGGGTTTCTTCTCATGGTCTGGTGCTCACCAACTAACTAGTTAGATTGGCTGTCCAGAGCACGTCTGAATCCCTCCTATCCCCACTTTCTCAGCACTGGGACTATAGTGCATGCCACCATGCTCAGCAACTGTGTATCAGGGATTCAATAGAGGTCCTCACATTTGTGAGATGAGCTCTTACTCACTGGGCAATCTCCCCAGGCCCTGTACCTCAGCTGAAGTCACTAGCCCAGGCTGGCCTCAAACTTCTATGTATTTAAGGGTTACCTTGAACTTTTGATTTTACTGAGCCTACCTCCCACGCTTTGTTTTATGAAGTGGTGTGGATGGAATTCTTCATGTATTCTGGGCAAGCACCTGAGCTACATTTCTGGCCCCAATGCTTTTAATTAATGAAACAATGAGAACAACTGGGTACCTTATGAAAAGAGTAGCTGTTTTGGCTTAAGTTACAGGATCAGGTATACAGAGACCCTGCCTCAAAACACAAAACCAAAAACAAGATACAGGAACAGGATGAAGAAGCTGGGCATGGTGACACACGCCTGTAAATCCCAGCACTCGAGGCAGAGGCAGGCAGTTCAAGGCCAGCCTGGTCTACAAAGACAAAAAAATCCTATCTCAAAACAAAACAAAAACAAAACCCCCAAAAAATGATCAAGGAGAGTATATAGAAACTATCTGGAAGTTATTCAACGATTGATTTGAAAATAGTAAAATGCTAGGCAAACAACATTCAAGACTGCAGATGCTCCCTGGGAGTATTATGCAAAGGAAAGGTAAATAGATGATCACACTGCCTTCTTAGGAAAGTTTACATTGCGTATTTTCAAATAGAGCTGGCCTAATATGGGGACTGGAGAGATGGCTCAGTGGTTAAGAGCACTGGTTGTAGGGCACTCACCAACCCCAATACAGGCATTCATGCCAGCAAAACACCAATGCACATAAAATTTTTTCAAACATTAAGTCATGGGGGAAAACAAAAGGAACAGTTAAACTGACTATTCTGTAGTTAATAACACAGAAATCATTTTCACGTTTTTTGTTCAGTTTTTGTGCTCATATGAAAGCTTACATGAGCTCCAGTGCCAGAGGTGTCAGATCCCCCTAGAGCTGGAGTTAGCTCAGTTGTGAACTGCCCAGTGTGCGTGTGCTGGGAATCAAACTCAGGTCCTCTGCGAGAGCAGTATGTACCCTTAGCTGCTGAGCCATCACTACAGCTCCAATGGAACTTAAATGTATGACAATTGCAGCAACAGAAAAAGTATGACCTAACAGGGAATGTGATGGTTGTTTTTAACAGAGCACGACATTAAGACCCTCTATAGTCAATTCTCTCAAGTTATGCAGGAGCTAAGATGAATGCCAGTAGCTGTAAGAGAAGTTAACACAGCACTCAAACTGCTTCCCCACCCCAAGACAAGGTTTTTCTGTATAGCCCTGGCTGTCCTAAAAATTGCTTTATAGACCAGGCTGGTACTGAACTCAGAGATCAGTCTGCCTCTGCCTCCCAGAGTGCTTGTATTATAGGCATGTGCCACCTCAAGCTGGCTCAAACTGCTTTTGATTCAAATTCTTTATTCATTTCCCCTCTTATATGACCTGCATTTCCTTTATTTATCTGTGCGACGTCTATGTGAGTATATGCATATGTGCAAGGGTGCCCTTAAGAGGCCAGAGAGACTGCTGGATTGTCCCCACAGGGGTCCTGGGAACCAAACTGCTGGAAGTTCAGGGAAGTGCCCTCACTCCTGAGCCATCTCTTAGCTCACTTGAAAACTTTTCGTCTACAATTTGAGTCAGAATTCAGATATGATTTTGTGTGGGGAGTGAGTGGACTCTTCAATGGCTGCCTAATTACCTTTGCCTGAGACTGAAGCTCATACATACAGTCTAGGCGGGCCCAGAACTCCTGGTCCTTCTGCCGGCACCCTCCTAAATGTTAGGGTAACACGCGTGGCAACACACTTGGCTTGATGTACTTGCTTACGTATTTATTGTGTGTGAGGGCACACTTGTACCACAGTGTGGATGTGAATTTGAGAAGTTGACTCTCTCCTTCTACCAAAAGATATTAAGTCACAAAAGACTGGATCTAGTCTACAAATACAGAAATCCCTAATTCTCCTTTTCCTACTTCTCAAATGATAGGCACATTCACTTGCATGGCACAGTGAATCATTTTAAAAAATATATTAATATAAGCGCCAGGTACTGTAGTGCACACCTTTAATCCCAGCACTTGGGAGAGGCAAAAACATTTATGTAAATTTGAGGCCCACCTGTTAACACGGAGTTCCAGGCCAGCCGGGGTACAGGGTAAGATTGTGCCCGCTGGGGTAGGGTGGGGTTCGATATATGCTGAGCACACTGGATGTTCCCAACTGAGTAACCTGGATGCAGAAAATCTCTAAACCCAAACCTGGAGCTCTCCAAAGCTTTTACCAATTGAGATTAAAAACCCATCCCTGCCTTTGCTTGCATGCCTTGTCCTGTAGCTATGACCTCTCCCCTCTAATCTGCCCCCCGCCCAACAGTGTTTCTCTGTGTAAACCAGGAACTCAAGAGAAATCTGCCTGCCTCTGAATCCCCAGTGCTGGGACTAATGGCATGCACTGCTACTACTGCCCAGCTAACTTTTGTTTCACCTGGTTGGTACTCACTATGGAGACCAGGGCAGCCTCCAACTCTCAGTGAGCATCCTGCTTCTGCCTCTGCTGTTAGGATTACAGGGAGGGCCACCATACACGGCAGAGTTCTGTCTCTATTTTTCTTTTCCTTTTAAAACAGATTTATTATGTATTCAATGTTATGTCTGCATGTACCCCTGCAATCCGGAAGAGGGTACCAGATCTCATTACAGATGGATGTGGACCACCATGTGGTTGCTGGGAACTGAACTCAGGATCTCTAAAAGAACACCCAGTGCTCCTAACCTCTGAGCCATCTCTCCAGGTCCCTGCCTCTATTTTTCATTCCCTCTGTTCTCAGATCACTTTATGTGGAATCAATTCTGCACTTGTCACTGCTATGATGGATATGCCCTAGGCCTGTTTCCTCATGTCACTCCCTACAAATAAATTCACAGAAGTGACACCTGAACACCAAATCTGGGGAGAGGGGAATCCATGCTGTACAATAAAACTTTCTGAAAAATCCTGTGTTTATAATTGTTAGAGCACTTCCATTTTAAGGTGAAGCACGTGCTAACTAAACAACCCAAGAAAAGGATTTACTGGTTTTCCTCCCTTTTAGGTCTCATTTCTTTTATGATTTTCTTTATTCACTGTTATTGCATGTGAGAGTTTGCCTGCACAGGGTATATGCACCCCATGCTTGAGAAAGCCAGAAGAGGCCATCAGACACCTTCAGAGCTAGAGCTGACATGGTGGGTTCTGGGAACCAAAGTAAGCTCCCAGGACTCACTTTTTGAAAACATTTTTTGTAGTGTTTTAACTATTAAAACCCCACGGCTGGCACGATGGACTGAGGCGAGAACTCCTATCTTAGGCTACCCTCCCATGTCCATGCGTACCCCAGCACGCACCTGCCCCAATCAGCGTAAATACAGAAATAAGGTTAAAGGAAAAAACACAACAAAAACCCGGTACAACAAACAAGAACAACAATAAAATCTAACTACTGTGTGTATATGTGAATCTCATATTGTCTTTCCTACAGAAAAGATTTATTTACTTGAGACAGAGTCTTACAAGGCTAGCCTGGCACTCTATATACCAGGTTGGCTTCAATGTCATAGAGATCTGCTTCCTAAGACCTAGCATTAAAAGGTATGTATCAACATGCCTGACCAAAAAGATTTTATTTCTATGTATGTGTCTGTTTTTAAGTATGCATAATTATGCATTTAGATACCTGTAGAGGCCAGAAGAGGGCATCAGATTACAGGCGGCTGGGAGCCACCCAATGCGGGTAACTGGTTCTAATGAGCAGTAAGTGCTTAGCTATGAAAATATCTCTCTAGCCTCTCAAATTGTCTTAGATTGTAATTTTTCCCCTGTAAAAGATGTCAGCTAGGCATGGTAGCACATAAGTAAAATGCCATCAGGAGGCAAGAAAATCACTGAAGTTCAAGTTCAGCATGGACTACATGAACAACCCGAGCTACCTAGTGAGACCATGTCACATAAAAACCCGAAAAGTGTCAGCTGCAAATGCTACAGTGGATGGTGTTTAAATGTATTATAGGTAAGGAAGAGACCCTTTAGAATCATGACCTTTTAGAATCTTAATGAAATCCTCCCAAGGATTATTAACCAGGAACCCTAGTTGAAGCAGTGCCCAAGCTCTGTAACGCAACACCTGGGTCCAGATTCACTCTTCTTACCCTTGCCACCATGAGCACACTTGAGACAACACCGCCATAAACTGCTCCCTAGACACCTAATAGGGTCTCCTAACAAAGATACCCCAGCAGCCCTAAATCCCAGTTATCAATGTTTCTGCACTGATATTTTCCCCAGAAGTCACAATTAAAAGACTCTTTGAGGTGATTAACACTGGACTCCTGGATGGTTGGTGCCTGCATACACAAAGGCATTAAAGGATTTTTCTGCTCTGGAACAAAAGCATTGAGTCAGTTTCTCCAGAACAACTCAGGCGTCACAACACAAACTTCAAAATGTCTCTATCAGATACTTTCCTTTATTTCAAACTGAACAACAGAATTTAAAAGCAACCTCTGTGAAGAGGAAAAGTTTAAGAGTGCTCTTAAACTTCTGCTTGTAGTCATGAGGAGGTTTGAGTGGTATTCAAACTGCCAGTCAATCTGAGGTGTGGATTAGGGCAAGGAAGATTCGTTGAAGCAGTGAGCAGAAAGTAGCTTTTAATTAACGGGGTGAAGAAGCTACCCAGGTTAAGGAAAGCTGGGAACTACTCAGAATCAAACGGGGTACCAGCGAAAAGGCCTACCAGGGAGGAGGTGGCAAGTCACTCACTGCAGAACTGTCATGAAAATGGCGTGTGCCTCCTCACACTTAGGTGGCTAAGGCAGAGCTGTGTGTTTTAACAAGCCTGGCCTATATAAGCATACCTGTTCTTAAAAAAAACAAAACAAAGGGGGAAGGAGGGTTGAAAGAATCTCACTCCAGGTTGACCATGGACATATGATGACTATAAAGCAAAAGAGAACTCCAACTTCACAAGCTAGCAAAAGACACGGCGGCAGTGCAAAACAACTGTGACCTAAGGTAAAGCTTTGTACGACCTAGTGCTACTCTGACATAGTGCCAAAAGGAGATAAACAGTTGGAAGGGAAGAGAATCTGATCGCTAGCTAGGCTTTGAGAAAATAAAGCAGGCTGGCACACGCCACCAAAGTCCCTGACAGTCTCAGCAGGTCTACTACCACCTTCCTGGAGCAGAGAGACAGGTAAGGAGGAGCAACTCTTCTGACCCTTCACTTCATTCTCCACTTCCACTGTGCTTAAACATGCATACTCACCAGCTAGTTCAGTGAATAAAAATAACTTGTTTCTACAGCAGGAGGCTAGCATCTAAAGCGTGCCACACTCAAAAAATGCAAACCACGCTGGCTGTTAGGCTCTTTAAAAAATCCTTCTTAGCAGTACTGATCTAGTTGCCCTGACGTTTGTTCCCACCTAATACCGCACTGCAGATACCCACCTGATGCGGCCTCTCCTGCCCTGCCCTAGGAGATAGTGACTCCTGGCAAGAGCTGCCCTCTTAAGAAGCTCATCTTCTTGAGCCAGCTGCACACAACCACCTCATTTTTCTTTCCTACTGAACAGAGTTTGAGAGGCAGGAGACTCCAGAAAGTGATGTCTCCATTTTCCCACCACATATCACCCCATCCCAGCCATATCCAAAAATCCCCTGTTCTTTGGTCATACTCTGACTTTCTGCCTTGGAGCTTTCCCTTACATTGCTCCTGCTGTGGGGAGACCCTGGGCTTTAGTCACACACCCACTGCCCACCATCAGAATTCTAGCCGCCTCACACAGTAAGGCCAAACACTTCTGTCTGCCTAAATCCCCCTTTCTTTGCCTGCCGTTTTTTTTCATCTTTCTATTCGTGAACTCTTGTATCTATTACAGAACTCATCATTCACATCTACATTAGATTAAATACCTAATGTAGTTAATCTATCTGTCACTTAGAAAGACTATACAAAAAAAAAAAAATAACGTTCAATGAAGACTTGAGATTTAAATGTTTTAGGGGCAAGGAATAATAAGTAGGAGTAAAAGCACATGAAATGAAATGAAACTAACTCTTTTAAATACACTTTTTAACTCTCAGACACACTCACCTCTAGCTTGATGGATTTGATGGACAGGTGGTCAGACATAAACCTATGTTGCAAGTCTGGCTTTGTGCGCTGTGGACGTTTTCCCTACAGTTAGAAGTGAGGAAGAGAAAGGAAAAGATAGATTAGGGTATTCTCAGCTACTGCAGCTACATCCACTGCCGATGCCACCAGCAAAATGGCCACTGAGGCACACCGGTAACTAATTTATCTAGTAGAGGGCCAAAGGTGCCTATCTTTTAGAATGATAAGGGAAAACAACTTTTCAGCTGTGTAAGGTACTAAGCTAGCATATTCTCTTAACAAATAACAACTCAAAAGCCACCGACAACCAAGCATTTCTTATGAAACATCTTCACCACTGGCAAGAGATATTTTATCCTCAGAAAACAATGTCTCAAGTTTGTTGTGGTAGGCACACCTATAACCTCAGCATCTGGAAGGCTAAGGGAGGAGGATTCTGAGTCTCAGGCAAGCCCGGGTACACAGCAAGCACTGGTTAAAAAAAAAAAAAAAAAAAAAAAAAGGCAACAAAAACAACACACCCACCTCAACACGCACCACCAAAGCAAGCAAGCAAGCAAGCAAGCAAGCAAGCAAGCAAGCAAGCAAAAAAAACCCTGTTCAAATGACGAACAGAAAACTATTTTATTACAGTCATCTGAGGGAATGGTTCTGAAAGAGGCCATCAGGAGCACCTGAAGTTCATTGAAAGGCAGGCAAGAGATGGCTACCTCAGAGGCTCTAGAGACCTGCTATCAAGTCTTGACTATTGGAGTTTGATCCTTGCGAATGAATGAATGAATGAATGAACGAACGAACAAACAAATGAACACACAAACACACAGATATGCAAGTGCACGCACGAATGCATGAGGCAGAGGAGGGTTGGTGTATTTTGGTCCCAGAAATGCGTAATACCAAGTCTTCTTCAAGAATAAGTAAGGAACAATCAAAACAAGGCTTGGTTTGGACACACTGCAAATACAATCACAAATAACAAAGGTGCCATGATCCTCTACCCTTTCAAGTATATCTTCAAAGCTCCCTAGGCAGTCTCCTCCTCAACAAGTCTGTAAGCATCTTTATAAAGTTCATAATTCTAGTAGGAATATCTCTTATACTTAAGATATAAATCCAGTATAGCATTATTTCCACATGAAATAGTCAATTTGCCAGGTAAATACCACCAGAAGCCAACACCAGCTTTACTCTAACTCTATGCCAATCGATGAGAGGGGTATGCTACTTGTGATCAGAGAGTAACCAGTTTCTATATGCATGGCTATCCGCTCCCTCCCTGGACCCATACAGAGACATCTGGCTACCAGTGCCTCCCAAATGCTAGGAACACTGGGATAAAATTTGTACATCACCCATCTACTATCAGCTTTTGTGAAGACAAAGTACACACACATTATTATTATGTTTCTAATGCTGATAAGCCACCACCCACCAAAAAAAAACCACTTTCATTGGTCTACACCCTTTTTTTGTTTTGATTTTACATGTGTCAAATGTTTTACTGAACTAAATAAAAAACAAAAAAACTCAGTGTGTAACAAACAAAACATCAGAGAAACTGGCTCATTTGTGGGATCATCTCCAGCAACACTGTAGACCATAAATATTGCTAGTTACCAGGTTTTCTTTTTGGCTAAACAAAAACAATTTAGAACTATATAACATCTATGTCTCAACAGATGTCTAAAGGTTAGCATATAAATGCACTAATCTTTGGAATATAATTAAAAATAAATGATACTTTGAATTCTATATGGTCTCCAAGGAAATCTTTTATTATCATAAGGTTAGCCACCATCTGCTTTTATTGACAATCTGATTATGTTTCTGTAAAATTCTACTATATCATAATATTTATAAGCAAAAATTGAGGAGTAACAATAATTTAGTCTATATTAGATGTTTCAGGAAGATGTCATATGTAATCAGTATACTAAAAAATATAACTATGGGGGACTGGAGAGATGGCTCAGAGGTTAGTGTACTGGCTGTTCTTCCAAAAGTCCTGAGCTCAATTCCCAGCAACCACATGGTGGCTCACCATCTATAATGAGATCTGGTACCCTCTTCTGGCATTCAGGTGTACATGCAGATAGAACACTGTATACATAAATATATACAAAAAGGTAAATCTTAAAAAAAAAAATGTAACTGTGGAGTTGGAACAAATAACAAATAATCTCAGAGTTTATACAGTAATTGTAAAATTTACTTATCACCACACCACCTCATAGCTGTGATAGGAAGAATACATGACTAGAAATAAATACATAATAGACACCATAAAGACAGACACTACAGCAGATCCAAGAGCAATCTTTCTGTTTTCTACTAGTATTGCCTTAAGGTGGAATAACAACAACTGTTGATTCTTTTTTCTCTTTTTTCTGCTATGAATTCTAGGATGGCCTAGAACTCTTAGCAATCCTCTAGTCTCAGCCTCTTGAGGAAGGGAATTATAGGCCTGTGCTACTACACCGTGGCCTAATTTTAATTAAAAATAATTAACTTTTATATATTCCAAAAAGGCCTCACATGTCCCCATTCCTCCAGAGGGTGTCAGGTCCCATGGAATTGGAGTCATAGCTGGTTGTGGGCTGCCTAACTCAGGGTAGGGAAGTCAAGGCAGAACCTCTACTAGAGAAGTAAAGGCTCTTAACCGTGGAGACCTCTCTCTAGACTTTACAGTTTACAGTCCTATCTTCTCATTACCAAACATTCTCTCTACCTGTATTTATCTTGTTAAGAAATATAAATGTTGCTGTTTATAATGGTACATACCTTTGATCCCAGCACTTGGGAGGAAGAAGCAGAAAAATCTGAGTTTCAGGCCATTCAGGGATACATAGTGAGACCACTCTCAAACAAACAAACAAACAAACATACAGATTTAGCTTCCAACTACCTACATTAACGAAGGAGGGAGTAAATGGGGTCTTTGTTTAATTCCTATGAAGGCTTCTGTATAAAGATAGTAGTTTACTGTGCTAATCAGAAAACTCAAAGTGCAATTCAGACACATGTGCCACCCACAGGATCAGCAGAGCACCAGCTAACCAGAACCTGAGCCAGTTCTTTCATAATTCCTCGTGACCACCACTCAGCTTGTGTCTCCTTTTTACAGAGCCGAAGGTGAAAAATGTGATGACTACTTGTATCATGTTCATTTGTACTCAAAAATCTTCTAATTTTCACACCTGACAGATACTTTTCACTGGCAACTTATTTTTTTAATTAGGATGGGATGTGGTAAATGAACAGCTAGATCAAGGAGGAAAAAAAAAAAAATCAACCAACCAACCAACCAAACAAACAAACAAAAATCACCAGAAAAAAAGTATTCAAGCATTCAGCTGTTAAGCACCCTGCCCTCAGGATACCCTGCCCTGGGAGTATACATAACACCTCTTAACCTTTCATTTGATCTCCATGTTTTATTTTCAGTAAAACGAAAGCATTGTTTAGTAAGCCCAGTTCAATCTTTTTCCTTTACACCAGTTCGACAGGCAAATTTTCAGGACTAATAGTTTTCAAGGGGAGAGCTGGGGCAGGTTTATGACAGGAGCTCAACCCTAGAGTCCTGGCTGGCATGATCTCGCTGTGTAGACCATGAACATTTGATGGTTCTTCTATCTCTGTCATCCAAGGGCTAGAATTAGTTGTGCAATTCAGCTACACTTAAAAAAAAAAAAAACCAAAACCAAAAACAAAAAAAAACAAACAAAAAAAACTTGTATTTTAAAATTATTATTTTAAGTGTGTGGGGTTGTGCACACACCTGGTAGGTGAGAGGATGACTTTCAAGAGGCATCTTTTCCCTTCCACAGCAGGTTCCAAGATGTGAATTCTGGTTGCCAGGTTTGTGTGTTAAGCCCTTTTTGTTTGTTTGTTTGTTTGATTTGTTTTTGAAACAAGGTTTCTCTGTGTAGCCTTGGCTGTCCTAAAACTAACAGAAATCCCCCTGCCTCTGCCTCCCATAGTGCTGGGATTATAGGTGTGTGCCACTGCCTGGCCTGTAGTGCTTTTATCCACTGAGTAATCTCAATGGCCCAATGACTTCTAAAAAATTTAAATTACATCTTATCACTTCTCCGGCATACATGTGTGTAGGTGCTTGTGTATATCTGTGGGCTACTGACGCCTGGGCTTTAATCTCAGCATGCAGAAGGCAAACGCTGTCTCAATCCCCCCCCCCCCCCAAACAGGGGCTAGAGGTGGCTCATCACTGCCAGGTGACCCAGGTTGAATTATTAACCACATATGATGGCTATAACCATCAGAAACTCCACTTTCAGGGAATCCAACACTCTCTTTCAACTGCCATGGGCAATGCACATGTGTGTGGCACAGACATACATGCAGGTAAAAACATCCACACATATGAGTTCTCATAAGGTGTGGCCTATTAATATTTTATCACACAATGAGGCTGGGACTCACGTGATATTCCACCTCCTAGCTGCAATTACATATAATTCTGTCTCAAGTGTGAATGACCTGTGTGTGTGTGTGTGTGTGTGTGTGTGTGTGTGTGTGTGTGTGTGCGCGCGCGCGGATGGAATCTGCAGATAGTTCTTTCTGGTAATGTAGCTCTTCTGACAGCAGTATTTTAACTGCTGCTTCCTAAAAGGATTCTCCACACGGTGGCACTGACACACATCCTCACACTCGCTGTACCCCCACAACCTGAGCAGAAAAGCTGGCATGCCAGAGGTAGTTCTTTCTGGAGAACACCACTAGTTCTTGAACTGTTGTCCAGTGCTAAACGGTCAGCTCTGAAAACATTCATACAAGTCACATTATGTGGACTGGTCAGGTTATATTTTAAAATGTAAATGAAAAGAAAAAAAAAAAGAGGACATGAATTTGAAGAAGAGCAAGGAGAAGTACATGGGAGAGTTTGGAGAGAGAAAGGAGAAGAGAGAAATGTTATTATTATAATCTCAAAAAATATGTTCTGCTATGCCTCGATAGCGCAAATTTTTTGAAGATATAGTCCAGTGTGCTGAATATAATCAAGTACAGCAATGACAACTATGCAGTAAACATCTCTATTGCTTTAAGCAAATCACCTGTCAGAAGGTCTTTGGGAGAGCTTCCAGTGGACTATTGTATAAAACCACAGTAGCTGTCCACTGCTTCTCCTTCACAAGGTTTCAGTATGTGCCCAGGCTGGCCTCAAACTCTCAGCAATCTGTGTCTTGGGGTTCCAATGCTGGACTACAAATGGAAGCCATTACACTAGGTTTGTCCTAGTGTTTACAAAGACTCGTTTCTGCTTTGGAGGGAATCGTCATTTTGCTGGGAACAGGGTCAGAATGCAATGACTTTCAACTTCCCCAGGTGAACAGTAGGTAGTGTATTTAGGCTTTCCTTCTAAGAACAGACAGCTCTTCATATATAAGGATTTTTTTAAAGATTATGTGTTTACAATGTATACAGCACCCTGCCTACATGTACACCTGCACGCCAGGAGAGGGCACCAGATCTCATTATAGATGGTTGTGGGCCATCAAGTGGTTGTTGGGAATTGAACTCAGAACTTCTGGAAGAGCAGTCAGTGCTCATAACCTCTAAGCCACTAACAGTTTTAAGATATTTTTCCCCATAAAGACTAGGGACAACTCTAAGATTACTGATAAACTTGTTGGCACCATAAATGCATTTATTCCAAGTGATTTTAAAAAATAAAGACAAGAGAGTCACCTGGACAGGTTATAAGGGATGTGGTAGGTAGGAATGTGTTATCTAGAAAAAATGGCAGTTGATTCCTACTTAACACACATTTTAGTCACATTTATAGTCCTCTACAACAAACACTCTATATAGTTTTGCATTTTACATTTTTTTCCCTCTTTTCTTAGAGGCTGAGACTGCAACCCCAGTGAGGTGCATGCTTAAGACCTTAGGACTTGACCCCGGTTTTGCAAAAACAAATTTGTGGCTGTTATATTATATTGGACAAGGGCTTCCAAAATAGTATTGCTAACACTATAGTCTTGGTTTAGCCTTGACTTGATGGATTACAATGTGTTCTTCATTTGGTGGGGAGGCAGCTCCCACATGCAAGTATTAACAAGCTGACATGGGGATTACTGACTGTATTTAATTTTAATCAGAAATGGAGATCAAAGTTTTCACTGAAGTGTAAGCACCAAGAAGGAAAAGTGAACAGAAGCTACTGGCAATGGATACCTACTGGAAAGGGGGGGGAATGTTTTCTCCAATGGAATGTCACCGGATTTACCAATCCCTACCCTAAAGAGCCATAGGCAATTAATGGCTGCTAGAAGAGTAATAACCATCAGCGGTGTGGCCAAGGATAAGTGGCTGTTGCTCAACTAAAAAAACCTCTACCCATTTGGGTAACCCTAATTAAATGCAGTGGGCCATAAAAACACAACAAAATAAAAAAGTAGAGCGAGCTGTACTGGAGAAACAATACCTGGAAGGGGCATCAGCAAAGTAGATTATAAACATAACATACTAAAGAATAAATAACTGGGAAAAAAAAAAAAAAAAAAGGTCTCATGTTATAGCCCAGAATGGTCTGGAACTATGTAGCTTAGGCTAGCTTCAAACTCGTGATCCTCCTGCTTACTCTTTTGAGAACTAAGACTGTGTCAGCAGACATGAATTTTAGGCTTAAAAACAAAATGTATGTGTATGATGGAGAGGGAGACAAAGGGAGTGAGCAAGTACAAGAGTGTGCACATGAGTGCAGGGGCCCAGAAGTTCAGAAGGTTTTGTATCCCCCAGAGCTGGAGTTACAGGCAGTTGTTAGTGACCTGACATGAGTTCTGGGAACTGAACGGAATGTGGGTTATCTGCAAGAGCAGCATATACTTTTAAGTCCTGAGCCACAAAACATCCAAACGGTGAGAAAAGACGTTTGAAAATGTCATGTATGGGGTGTATATAGATTGAAATATAGTTCATATAATTTACAGTGAAGAGACATTACGAACAGCTCAGGTGGAGTTAGGAACTGGCACAAATGTTCAAACGCTGACACTGTGAGGGAGAAACAAATTAGGTCCTAAAATGATCATTTTTCTTGAGGTGGCAGGGAGGGCAAATTCAGGCCATGTTTCGTGATAGTTATAGGGTAAAGAAAGCTGGTTTTAGCTTGCAAAAAGCCATGCTAAGAACTAGGGGGTGTCAGACATGTAAGGAACAAGTCTTAAGTGAACGTCATAAGAAAAGCAGGTGTGTGAACTTCTACCCTGACATCCAGTCCTACCAGGCCAGAGTGGGACCTGAGCAGCAGGGAGGCTCTACCTTCTGGGCAATCATGTTGCAGATTTCAGGCAGGAAGTCCTCGCTGAGGAGCTTGTAGAGTTGCCGCTCTCGCAGAGAGGTCCTCTCTCGGAAGCTCTCAGTGACCTGTCTCCATTCTTCTTCTGTTTGACACAAGAGCCACCAAGTACCTTGGCCTGGGCCTCGGGAACCTACAGAAAAAAAGAATGGATTCACTAGAATAGAGCCCACACTGAGACCTTTTGTTCCTACTATCCTGGGTCATGACTCATACAAAGGAATTATGGGAAAAGGTGTCATTAGTCTTCTAATGGCTGACAGTACATACTTTTCTTTCTTAGGAAAAAGTTGCTCATAAAAGTGTTGAAATCCAGAGATAAGTAATCCTCCTGCCTCAGCCCCTCAAGCACAGGAATTTTCCACAATGTCTAGATGGTAATGTATACCTTTCATTTTAAATTAGACTGGCCTTAAACTCAGAGATCCACCTACCTCTGCCTCCCAAGTGCTGGGACTATTATACTTTTGATTTTACTATCACTATCATTGTCTGTAACTATACAAATGCTTAGCAAAACAAAACTATAACTATTGTGATTTAACATTCTAGAAATGCTTAAAATGTATTATTTTTTTAGAAAACAGACTGTAAAAATGTATGCCCTATCTCATTTATGATACTACAAATGGGTTAGTTCCCTCCAATTTAAAGCATTTGAATTACAGAATTAAAATCTAATCAGAGGCCAGGTGTGGTACTCAGGAGGCAGGGCACATGGATTTCTGAGTTTGAGGCCATCCTGGTCTACAGAGTAAGTTCCAAGACCGCCAAGGCTACCCAGAGAAACCCTGTCGCAAAAACCAGCAGTAGTAGTAGTAATAAAGTCATAGATAAAATCTAATTCTGCACATACACGCATGTACACATGCATGCAACACTTCCCAGGTCACTGACACTAAAAGACAGCTCTCCCAGAAACTGCTTGACTACCCAAAATGTCTGCATCTTAAATATACTGTGCCAGGTGACGAAACAGAACTATTTCTCATAATAAGTGTCTCTGAGATAGATGATGGTAAAACAGCAAGCAAAAAAATAGGAGACTGCAAGAATCATCCTAATATGCTGTACTAGAATGGATCATGTTGACTTGACACACAGGAACAAAGATCATTATTACCATTTCTTGTCTGTAGGTCAGGTGCCAAGGAATTTCCGTCCTGCTTTTCACTGAAACACAACAAAAAGAGGAAACAATTAAAGCAAGATGCTGACATGCCCAAACTGGTTTTTCTTGCAACTATGGACCCAATTAACATAAGTGTGGCTGAGTTGGGCTGTCAAAATTCAAAGTTAGGAATAATTCTAATGAGAAATAAAAGCAGAAATATGCCAAAAACATGGGCTATGAAGTTTTACTGCCTCTGCTCAAGACTGTCAGTTACCAGTAGAGGGTAGTACAAGCCCACATGTACCAACACAATGGTTCTATATTCCCAACATTAAGGCAGGTATAAAACAGATTTCTGACTATAGGAAATATGTTGACTACATAGATCACAAGTGACTACCGGACATTTTCCAAAATACCACAAGGAAGAAATAGGCAGTTATAATCTGCTTAAATTTAACTGATCTTACTAAACATGTGATTTCTTAAGAATGCTTTCAATTAGCACCTCCATTTTATTACAGCCTTGCTATGTAGTCCAGGCTAACCTGGAACTTAGAATTTTCCTGCCTAAGCCTAGGACTATTTCTTTGTTGTTGGTGGGGGGGTGGGAGGGGAGCACTGAAATTGGCACTGTAAAGATAGCTAAATTAAGCAGAACTTCTAAATCCTCTAGAAGAGGCTATTCATGCTGTTCCTACATATATTAAGGGGAGGGGAGCTCCCAGCCCATGTGGTCAGTGTCATCCCGAGGCTGGTAGTCCTGGGCCCTGTAAGAAAGCAGGCTGAACATGAGGAGCAAGCCAGTAAGCAGTGCCCCTCCCTGGCCGCTGCCATCAGCTCCTGCCTCCAGGTTCTTGCCCTGTTTGAGTTCATGTTCAGGCTTTCCTTCAATGATGAATATGCTGTGAAAGTGTAAGCCCAATAAACCCTTTCCTTCCCAACTTGCTTTTTGGTCATGATGATCCAGCACAGCAACAGCAACTCTAAGACAGCTAGGTATGGTGGTGTGCATGTACTCTGAATGCTAAGGAAGCAGACTGTAAGTGAGGAGAGGGAGACACCAAAACCAAGTGATAGCTGTCTGTGCCAACTTCTCTTCTTCTCACTCTTTTTCTCTGTCCTGAGTACCCTCTTTTCTCTCTCCTCATGGCTCACACACCTTCTCTAGCCCTTCTACAGGCCTTCCTCTCCCTCCCCCCAATTAACTTCCTTAAAAGGGAGGGGACAAAACAAAAACCTAGAATGACATATAATTCTACTAACTGGTCAACCAATGGTTGGTGGGAAAGGAGCCTAGATCCTCGTGTACTCTACTACTGCACTATATCCACAGCCTACAATAAGTAGCCACAAAACTGATCTGTCCCACTTGCGAGTGGTATAACTAATTTAAAAATATACACTAACAGGAATGTTCCTCAAATACTATGGGTCAAGCACAGCCTTTATTTTCTTGCACTGTCAGGTACTATTCTGTTGAGTTTAATCCTCACTAAATGAACAACCATCATCCAACGGATAAAAGGCTCAGGGAGGCAGGTAGCTTCACAGACAGAGATGCTTCACAATTTCTCGTGGACACTGACTCAGGTCACCACGCACAACCAAAAATAATAAAGATGATGTGAAGTTAAGGTCCCTTTCTAGTATGAGTCTGTGAACACAGACATTTCTTACCTGGATATAATCTCCTCCTGAGTTTTCTTCCGTTTTGGCGGCCTTCCTCTTCTTTTGCCTGTTTTTCCAGGAACATTTGAGACACTTTTTGGTCGTTCATTTTCCCTAAGAAACAATATCATTAAATAGAAATGTTCTGGCAAAGTACTAACAACTAACATGATTCTTGTATTAGTAACTACAAGGATACCAAAATGAATTATGCAGAACAGCAGAAACAGGGAATACACAGAGTGATCTCTCTTCCATAGGGATTACCACGGTGTGGAATCAAGGAAAACTGACATTAAAATATAAGATCTAACACCTTCTTAATAGGAAGTACTGCGCAGTGCAGTAAGGGAGTCGCAACAAAACCAGTGCTTAGCCTCATTCCTCATGCCAAGGGAATGAGGCTACTGCTTGTTTAAGAACTTAACACAGGCTCACTTTGCAGGGCATCATGCGAGATTCTGCCTCATCCTGGTGGATCCTAAGTTCCTAAGATGGAGTGATATTCCTAATAAAAAAAAGTTACTCAAAGAGTGCTGTACTAAACAGTCTGTGCAATTGTACAGGTACTTATCAGGAGTCTCTTATGGATACTCCGCACTCAAATCATAGTATCTTTCACCAGTCTTGTGGTAAAGGCTAGAGAGTAATTCCTTTGTGTTTTAATATGAAACTCTTTGCTATCCTGTCACAGGCATGCCAATACAACCAATTATTACATTGGAAAAAACCAAAGTGCTATTATCATTCTGCTATATTAACTTTCATGGCATTCTAATAGAGCAGTCATCACAGCTGACATTACTGACATACCTGCTCAAGGACAGTTCGCCATTAGACCTTCCTTGTACTGGGTCTTCTTTGTACATTCGTGTCCCATAGAAGTACCAGTAGAGTGCACCTGAGTTGTCCTCACCCAGAGGCTCCACTCTGAGACTGTCTGCATCAAGACCCTAGGCAGAAGACGAACAATATGAAACAGGAGAAAACTAAAGTGACAATTCAAAATTCATATTCAGACACACCTCTTTTCGGTGTGCGTGTGTGTGGAGGCAGGGGGGGGTTCAAGACAGGGTCTTTCTGTGTAGCCCTAATTGTCCTGGAACTCACTCTGTAGACCAAACTGGCCTCGATCTCACAAATCAACCTGCCTCTGCCTCCTGATAGCTGGGATTAAAGGAGTGCACTATCACCAGCTGGCACACCTCATACTTTAAAATGCCTATATGATGTATGAACTTTTCTATGAAGAGAAATGAAATACAGACAGAACAAAATGGGAGGGGATGCTTTATTTGATGACTAAGACAAGGAAATTTCAGATGTTCCCTATAGCCAACCATGGCACCCATGGTTGACTTACACACTGTCAAAAAGAGAAACCAAAAAGCCACGAACATCTCGTTTACAAGTGCTACCTTATGGGTACTTGTTTGAAAGGAGGGACAACCACACTGAATAGAATGAGAACACTCAATACAGTTCTCACTCTAAGACAAGACCTCACTCTGTAGTCCAGAACAGCCTTATACTCTTCAACAAGCCTCTGCCTCAGCCTCCCAAGTGCTGGTATTATAGAGGCTCAACAGGCGTTGAGACCCTACCATGTGTATTTCTAATCAGAAGACTTTGTTTCAAGTGGCTTTGCACATACCTTTTCCATAACCTACGGCAACCTTTTGAAAAACTTTTATTTTTTATTCATGTGTATGTGCATGTCATGTATGCTCAGGTGCCCATGGAGGACAAGGAACACATTGGACCCCATGAAACTATGTCTACAGACAATTATGAGCTGCCAGTGTGAGCACTGAGAACTGAACTCTTCTGGATTCTTAAGCACTGAGCCATCTCTCCACCCAAAACAAGGCACCTTATGTATTCCAGCTGAGATCCACAGCCTGCTCTGTACTGGCCTACATACCCTTATTGCAAGTGCTCAGCAAGGACTACAATAAATTACATGATTTTCTTATGTGTCTGTGCACAGTGCTCAAATGAGCACTGTTAAATTTAGTCACCTGATTCATAGGGCTAAAGATGGGATACAAAGTGAATAAACTGTAATAAATAAATTTAAAAAAAATCACCTGATTGCATAGGATTAGAAATTGATCTACCAAGCCAGGTTATGGTGGTGCACGCATTTAACCCCAGCACTAAGGAGGCCAGAGGCAGGTGGAGGGGCCAGCCCAGTCTATGTAGAAACTGTCTCAAAGCAAACAAAGGAACACACACACACTAATAATAATAATAAAAATAAAAAATTGACTTCCCAATTTGTAAAAGCATTAATCTACCTACTTTCCTGCAACACATATAAAATAAGTAAATATATATATTTAAGATTTTTATTTATTTTATTATGTATACAATGTTCTGCCTGCATGTACACCTGAACGCCAAAAGAGGGAACTAGATCTCACTACAGGTGCTTGTGAGCCACTATGTTGTTGCTGGGAATTAAACTCAGGACCTCTAGAAGAGCAAGCAGTGCTCTTAACCTCTGAGCCATCTCTCCAGGCCCAACAATATATACATATAAATAGGTAACAGCAATAGAAAGTAAGAGAAACAGAAGAAATGTCCACACCTTTCTTCAATGTATTTTTTTAAAAAAATGTTCACTTACTATTTATACATCATTCTGAACTGCATATATGCCTACACATCAGAAGAGGGCAGCAGATCTCATTATAGATGGTTATGAGCCACCATGTGGCTCCTGAGAACTGAATTCAGGACCTTCAGAAGACCAGCCAGTGCTCTTAACCTCTGAGCTATCTCTCCAGCCCGTATTTTTGTTTTTAAATTGTAATGTGTACAAAAAAATATAGTTTCATGTTTACTGTTATTTTAATTATTGAAGAAAATTCAGTGGCAAATTCACTGTTGTGTGAAGACAGAACTACAAGTAGGTTCTCCTGTCTGAAGTAGGGTTCAGGAAAATAAAAGAAATAAATTCAAAAGCCATACACCTGCATGGCTTGCGATCTTTTGGCCACATGAGAATGGCTGTACAATAGGTCATTATCAATTAAAAGCCTAAAGACTACTGTGTACAAGTTAAATTCTTATTTCTCCATACTTTCAGATTTCACTCAGAAGAGCTTGCTTGAGAGGTACCTTGAGAAGATCAAAGACATCATCTGCATCTAGCCGGTAATCACAGAGGCGATGCAGGATCTCCACCCGAGTTCGCAGAGGAAGGTCCTGGAAACTGGATTCCCTCAGAGGATTGGGCTTTCCTTCTTCAAGCTCCCAACGGTAGTTAATAATGTCTTCTAGGTAGCTGTGGAATGTCTGAGGCCTAATTAAATGGTCCCAAACACAAAAATACATTAATTAAAAAACAAAACAAAACAAACAAACAAAAAATCAGAAAATGAGCAGAGGAAACTGACAGGCAGGTGGATTTCTCCAAGTTCAAGGCCAGCCTAGTCTAGTAAGTTCCAGGACAGCTAGGACTACGTAGAGAGACCTTGTCTTAATAGCCCCCCAAACAACAAAACAACAGTAAACTTAACTACTATGTGTGTTCATGTCCATATGGCATATGTGAGGGTCAGGGAACACCTGTGGGAGTTGTTCTCCCTTTCTATCGGGATAGGCAAAGGTACACAGAAAACCTGTCTTGAAAAACCAAAACCAAGCAAAAGAAACCAGTTGTCAGGTATCATTACAGTAAGAATTTTTAGATATACTACTGCTCAGGACATGGTATGATCTACTATCTTTGCTCTGAACAGAAGTTATTTTCAGTCTAGTACTCAGTTATTCTAGTCTCCTTCCCAATGCAGAAAGAAATGAGAAACTGAGAGAGGAATTGCTCATGCCATATCCTTAAAATATGTACTTAATGGGGCAAGTACTTTATATAACTAGAAGAGTGATTCGGGAGTGATCCGGAAGAGAATCAGAAAACACTGGAAGGAACATGTTACTGACATTTTGTACTGAGAAAGGAAATAACAGAATACCCAAAACTAAAACACACTAAAGAAATTGGGTGTGCATCAAGTCTACAAAATAGTAAACCGGGGGCAGCACTCAGGCGGTACTGCATGTGTGGCCAGGAGCAGCAGGGCAGCACACCTGCTCCTAAACACGGGGAATCCCAGGACAACTCTCCAGGCAACTTTGATGACCCGGCAAGGACAAGACCATTCTCTTGCATGCTACTTTGTGAACTCATCTCTGATGTTCCTCTTCCTGATTCTCTTAAGTACTGTGCTGGTTTGCTTCATAAATTTTGCGTATGCATGTATGTATCCCAGTATTCCTCATTTTATATTTACAAGACGAAATCGTGGGTAATGCTTCTGAAGAGTGCTTTATTTGCAAACTTTATTTATGTGATTAGCTGCTGGGGAGCGGGCACTACAGCTGCTGACTCCAATGCCAAAGCTAAATTGTAGAGAGCCAGAGACCACAGGTCTGCCATACCTCTCCTACTTGGGAGTAGGTTCTATCATTATCAAGGACTTGAGAGGATTATTACATGGGCTATCCTCACAGCTCAACAACCACCCACAATCCTTTGAAGAACCTTTTTTTTTTTTTCATCTCTTTAGGTAACAGAGATCAAATCCCAAGGCTCCAACATACTAGCTGAGTACTCTATCACTGAGCTATACCCTCAAGTTTTAAAACAACACTTTTAGTTAGCAATAAACAAACTCCTGAACACCCTCCCTCGTCCTGAGGCAGAAGGCTGGACTTGAACTCCTGGACAATTAAAGATGTGACCTGAAAACTTTTGAAATAAAGCTTTACTACTCTCTCTCTGACAGAAAGGATTAGACTGAAGAGTCTTAAGCTCCACTGTGGTCTTCAGAAAGTTCAGCTTAGATGACAGACTACAACAAACATGAGGGGGAGGGCACTGGATCACATGGGTCTATGAACATCTGTTTTGCTGTAATTTCCTCAGTTACAGAAATAAACTTCTAAGCATAATAGTTCATGGCTATAATCTAGGACTCAAGAGGATGAGGCGGAAGGATTATGGTGAGTCAGAGGCTACCCAGGCATACTCTAGCTCACTTTCTTCCTCTGGGGTGGGAGGCTGGGGTAGACAAAGTACTAGATGGTAACTTAGGCTGGGGTAGACAAAGTACTAGATGGTAACTTAAGTACTTTGCATGGCTACGTTAACTCTAAATTATAGTTAACCTTAGGATGGAAAACCTTCTAATACAGAGATACAATTCAAGAAGGTATGAATGCAGGCAATAAACAACAGCAATGTAGGATGGTGTATTTTTCTCCAGTAGAAATCAGCTATTTTCACATCATGTCATATATTCTGCAGTTACCTCAAAGTAAATAAATATTTATGCTCATCAATAGTTGAATACAGTAATGCTAAAAATTAGAGATGCTAAAAAAAAAAGTTTGTAATTTTAGACACACATCACTATCAGTATAGTTCAGTTGTTAGAGAAATTACCGTATCAGAAATGGGATGTAGCTAAGAGTCACTGACTCAATTTCCAGTACCACAAACACTCTGGGCATAGTGGTGCACATGTCATCCCAGCACTCAAATTCCAATCATCCTGCACAGCCAGGTGGAGTCCAGCCTGGGCTTTATGTGACTCTGAAAAGGACCCTGAAACTATGACCCACCTTGGCCTGAGCTGATAACTAGATTTTGATTTGTTTTGTAAACAGCCTTAAAGGTAAGATTGGTTGTTTTTAAGTATATTATTTTAGAGCTTAGTTTAAAGGGTAAACAAAGGAAGAACACCGTTGTAACTGTAGTGTCAGGGCTCTAAGAGAGGCAGTGAAGAGTCCTGCTTAGTCCCTGTTGGGTTTCAGACCAAGGACAGCAGCTAAGGAGCATGTAGAACATACCAAACCAGACCAGGCCCCCAGGTTCTTCCAGTGCCCTTCAGTCCTGACCTGCTGCAGTTGTGTGGCATGCCCAACCCTCTGCCCAGTATTCTCCAGCCCAGAGGCTGGGCTTCCCCTCCCCCAGAAGCTCTTCCCTATAGAATACAGATATTTTGGTCTCTCCTCTCCTCTCCCTGTGTACCCAAGCTATCTCTCTTTCTCCTCCCCCAACTCTCTGTCTCCCTCCCCATGGCAACTTCCCTGGCCTCCTTCCTTGGGATCAGTGAACATGCCTAAGACTTTTACCCAATAAACCTGCCTTTATGCTTTAATCTGACTTGAACTGACTCATTTCAGAGGAGAAAACCTACTAGTCTCCATTAACAGATCTAAAGGGCATCATGTTCAGAGCGAAGAAAAATTACCTCAGTTTCCACATCAGTTCAAAGATGAAGAGTCATTTCTATGGTGGGCAGTCTGCTGATTTGCCAACAATCTTTATAGAAACATTTTGTTTACTTTTTATGTATGTGTGTTTGTGTTTTACCTGCGTGCCTCTGCACCAACTGCATGCCTAGAGCCAAAGGAAGCTAGGAGAGCACCAGATGTTCTAAAATTGGGAGTTATAGACAGTTGGGAAGCAAACCTAAGTCCTCTGGGAAAAAAAAATCTAGTCCTCTTTAAAAAGCAAGACATAACTGCAATCCCATTAACAAAATCTTAACTGGGCAATTCTTTCAACAGAGTGAACTTCTAGAAGTAAGAGTAAAGAGATAAGAGTTGAATACCTAGTGAACTTAGTATAAAGCTACTCATTGTAACGCGCTTACCACAGTTAAAAAGTTAGACAAATGCCTACCTAAGGGGCTGGATTATCCATCAATCAAATCACATTTAGAGAAAAGATGGTTACAAAAAACGTTATAATAAACATAACTGTAGATATAAAAGTGTCAAACCATGTAAATGTGATTACAAGTGAGCTTAAAAATGAATGGATGCTACCAGAAGTGATAAAGCTTGACTCCACTCCCACCACTTGGGAAGCAATGGCAGGTGGGCTGACCACAAGTCTGAGGTCAGCCTGTGCCAGAGGGAGACACTGGTGGCGGTGGTGGTGTTAGTGGTAATGTTCATTTTAATATCTTTGACCAAACTAACACACAACCTAACACTCCATTAAGTATGAAGTTTAAAATACTATTACACATATACTTTACTCAAAATAGGCATCATACATACAAGCATAAAGCATCTCTCTTAAACATATAAACCATATGGAGAAAGTAACAGGTGTTTTTAGGGCTAGCAGTTAAATAAGGGAGAGAATGTGCTTAGCATGGCCAGGGCACAAGAGCTGGTCCCTACCACACTTCCTGAAAGGAAAATTTTGCAAGAGTATCTGAGACAGAGCAAACCAGACTTCCATACATGAGCTAATGATGTCACTCATTCCCTCAAAGAATTAAACCTTCAGCTTACCAGTGTCTACAAAATTTCACCCAGAAGTCCATCTAGCACATTTGTTACTATCACTAAAATCTACCTGCCATGCAGGCTGACATGAAGTCAGAACACTGCATCCAGGATGACAAAACTAGGGGTGGTGTCAAAGTCTACCATTCCAGCGCTCTTTGTTTTTTTTCTTCAAGATAGGGTTTCTCTGTGTAGCTCTCCCTGACTTTCCTGGAACTTCCTCTGTAGACGGGGCTAGCCTTGAGCTCACAGAGATACGGAGACCCCTGCCTCCCAAGTGCTGGGATTAAAGGTGTGTGCTGCCATCACCACCTGGGAATTGTAGCACTCTGCTCCTCGCCTAAACTAGAGGGGTAAAGGCAGGACCTTCAGGGCCAGCTTTGGCTACTTATCAAGTTCAAGGCCAGGCCAGTACCTCGCAGACCAATACCCTGAATAACAACAACACTGTCCACCTCCCCCAGCCAATATAAAGTTACCCTACACATTCACACTGATCTAGCCTACCAGACCAGCACACTGGATTCATGACAACAAAATGGTGATGCACTATTTTTTAAATTAAAAAATAATCTATCATATTTTCAAATTATGTATTTATGTTGGCATATGTGGAGGTCTGAGTACACGCCCATAGAGGCAAGAAGGCCTCAGTCTTGGGAGCTAGACAGTTGTATGTCATCAAACTTGCAAACTTTAAAAGTAGTATGTGTTCTTAAGCACTGAGCCACCTCTCCAGTCATGTTTAACTATTTGAAAAGTATAAACTGAACTCCTACATAGCTTCAAAGTGCCCAAAGCCTACAACACAGGGTAATTGGCCTTTGGGTTGAGTTTGCCCTATTTTGTTTCAACTTGGACCAAATCAAAGGCAAGCTGATGATCCATGTCTACAGTCCAGTTTAAGCAGGAAGACCTTCCAAGCTCAGGAGTTCTACCCCAGCCTGAGCAACATAGAGAGACCCAGTCTCAAAACAAAGTGAAGAAAAGAGCTTCTGATCAGAGAGTTCTGTACTTGTGTATGGAGATAGCATCTACTCCCAAACTATACATCTCAATAGTTCCAGAGAGCTGTCAACTTGGCATTACAGAACCCAGAGACTACAAGTTAATTCTGTTACTATACTAGTTACAGGAACAACAGAAGTCATGCAAGCCACAGGAATGCAGTGAAACTAGATTTTAATTTGTTAGGCAATATTTTGCCGGTATTGCAGGCCAAAATAAGAAAGAAAGGAAAGAAAGAAAGAGAGAGACAGAGAGAAAGAAAGAGACACTTAAAGTAGCTAACGAGATGACATTTGTTTTGTAAACATAAAATAAACTCAAGAATTATAGTAAAGAACAAGCAAACGTAAAGACTGGGAATGCATTTGTATATAGAGTCTACACTGTTGTGTACTGGCAATGCTGGGTTCTTGTCACAGGAGAGTGGAGCTCCCTGACAACAGGTTAATGGGTTCCCTATACAAGAAATAATAACAGCAGGATTACTCACGTGATGTCCCTTCGCTGATAACAGCCCTGAAGCAGGCAGGCAATCAGATCACTGATAAATTCCACATCATCTCTGTGAAGAGCTGCCTCCAACTCCTAAGAGGAGATAGAAACAGATCAGAGATTTGTTTAAATGCGCTGTCCCTGCTCAGCATCGCCAGACTGCAAACAACAAAATGATTAGCAGCCTTGTTCCCGTGTCTATTGTCCACGTCAGAAAGACAGAGAGCATTTAGCATTCTAGTTTATTTCTTCCATTGCATCTTACTAGCCCCCGTCACCTTTTATCTGCATCCTTCACAGTAGAAGAAATATATAAGCATATTTCTTTTTATGAAATTGATGTTGCTTATATAATCAAAGAACTTTCTAAAAATCATGCCACTATGTGTGTTAGTTTGAGTGTGTGTGTTGCGCTTCTCCACTTTATTTTGAGACAAGGTATCTCTTAAACTGGAGATTGCTGGAGTGGACCTGATCCCTGTCTCTCCAGCCCTAGGGTTGCGGACAAGTATCTCAACAACTGACTTGTTAACATGGGTCCTGGAGATTCAAACTCAGGTCCTTATGCTTGCTTAGCAAAGCACTTTACAGAATGAGTCACTTTCTTAGTCCTTTACTTTATATTTAAATGACAACGAAGCACCATACAATTGATTATCAGTTAGTCTTCATTTACTTGACAGTACTATTAGTCCACCTTCAACAGCTTTAATGAACCATTAAAAAAACAAAACAAAACAAAAACAAAAACAAAAAAACCCACTTCGTTTTGAATGAAGCAGCACTGGGAGAAATGAAGTGTGGCTCTACCTACATAAGTGTGAAAACAGATTGCTAGAAAAAGATTATTCTTACGTCATCTGGAAAGAAACATGGAATGACTGTTAATAGTTTTAATTTACTTGCCCTCAACGTTCAGGTGGAAGCTACAGAAGACAGCTGATCTTCACACAGAATTTAGAGATTTAAGAGACGAGCCAATGAGCAAAAAGTAGCAGTGGAAAACATCAGTAATCTTTTTTCTCTTTTCAACCCTCCAATACAAGAATACTCTCTGAAGTGATGGGATATATTCATAAGTCATTAATTTTTACAATGTAAATTTACCTGCATTAAAAAAAAAAAAGACTTCCAAGAGTCTGCTTACAACTTGCTAGCTTACTAGATCTAGAATCCATGGGGAAAAAAACCAAAACCTAACAACTTTTGGGCACTTATCTCAAAAGCATGCCATGTGATTTCTGATGGCACCACTTATATGTATCTATATGCACATTCAAGTGGACAGTCTGTTTCTAGAACAGAGAAATAATCAAGTTTTATGCAATCTAATGAATCGCTCCATTCATTCATTCATTCATTCATTCGTTTGTTCTAAAATTGGAAGTCTTAATTCTCAAAGTGTGATAGGCTACTTGAGACTCTAAAATAAATAAAACCCAAAACAAACCACCACTACCAACAACAAAAACAAAAGGCTCACAGTTTAAACCTGGTCTAGGAACAAGATTCCAAAGTAAATGGCCAGTTGTTCTAACAGTAGCTAAGTCCTGGAAGCAAAAAAGCCACAGGCCATTTATTTAATAGGAAGTCATCTCTGGGGATGCTTAAGCTAGTGAATAGGTCATTCACTTCAATTCTCTCAACATCTGCAATCTCAGTACTTGAACAGAATAAAACATTCAAGGCCAACTTGGGTTACAATAGTAATATTATTTTTAAAATCAGTAACAAAGAATGACTTTTCCAAGTCGGTAAATCAATGACAGAGTGAAGGTGAAAAAAATCTAGTTACCAGCCAAGTATTCCTGGGCAAACAAAACTCCCTCTTCTTTATTAACATTCTCTATTTTAGAAAGGCTCAATGGGGCTGGCAAGATGGTTCAGAGGGTAAAGGCATTGCTGCCCAAGCCTGGTGACCTGAATTCCATCTCCAAAGCCCACGTGAAGTTGTCCTCTCTCTTCATATGCACACCCACACATAATCATAACAAAAATGGAGGCACTTCTGCTCAGCATCCTGACACTAGAACCAAGCACCTGTGTGTATCCAGTAACACCCGGGGGAGCCATCAGCCCACACAATCAGAAGCACGGACATCTGCAGGGAGGAGACAAACATTTGAAGGGTATAAAAGACCACGTTGCAGGCAACTCAGTGGGTGCTGGCCTACAACATGCCCCAGTACATCACAAGAACCACACAAAGCAACAAAGGACCCTTCTAGAGGCTGCGTGGGCACTAGGCACTCCTGCATCTGACCCAGGGGAATGCTGAATGTCTGGTTGACCTAGATAAGCACAACTAAGGTCATGACCAGCTAGCTTCTGTAGCTCTAAAGGAAGGAACTGTGCTCTGGAGGAGCATTTGCTGTGGAGCCAACACCCACAGTACTTTTCCCACCTGTGAATGTGGGACATGGTTGCTTGCTGTGCACCAGATAATTTGTGCCACCTCTACCCAACTCCCATGAGTGATCTATCTAGATATGGTGGAATCACGTAAAGCCAGGCTGCTAGGTTAAGATTCACTTGCTGTGAGCCGTTTCCTTTTACCTGAGGTGTGATGTGTGAACAATAAACTGCACTCTTTAAAAGAGATACTCGGCCGCCTCTCTGTAATGAGGTCGTGTTCAAGACCCTGTCTTTTACGTTTACAACAATTTTCAGAGGACGGCCACTTTGTGGTCCTATTCCCAACATGTCATAGCTACACTAACATACCATAACACACACTTCTATGGGATTTACTATGGCCCCTTGTCTACACAGTGACTCAAACACACCGGACTCAAGCCCTGCTCTTCTGTGCTGGGGATGGCCTTGATTATTGACAAGTGCTCACCACTGAGATATGTATTCCCACACCTGTACTTGGAGCCTTTTAAGACCCACTTCTATTACTAGTCCTTTTCACAGAGAATGCTAGGTCAAGAGTTTCTGAAACTAGGTTCTGTGGTCCACACCTCCAATGCCAACACCTGGAGGCAGAGATAGACACACCTACATGCTAATAACCTGTCTCCCAACCCCATAAAAGGCAGAAATTTTAAATTAGTTACTTTATCCCTCTCCAACAGGTAATGGTGAGTCCCAGCAGTTTGTACCAATAAATGAACCAAAGACAAGACCCTGAAACATGACTTTATCTCATTCTGTAGTGGAGTGTTGTAGGAGAATAGCACCACCAACCAAAAGAACAGAGAAGCCATTTTAATCCTGAAGAAAAGAACTGCCTTGGTTTGCTTTTTCCACATCAGTTTAAAGGTAGAGTTTAATGATCTCGGACAGAAAAGGTTCTAGGCATGTATTTCATATTGTGAATGTACCTAGCACTGTTAGAATGTGCGCCCAAATGGCTAGCAGCAACGTACTACTGAACTGTGTACCTAAAACAAATGGTTAATGCGGAAATCATTATTTTAATATTCAATTTTAAAATCTGTCGCCACAATTTAAAATATTTTTTCTATTAAGGAGTATACCGCGTTGTTCACTTTAAATGTGTCTACCTCCAAGGACTATTGTGCTAAGATGGTGCGATACAGCCTGGCACATATTGTAGAAACTCTGGGTCATCCTCCTTACGACAGTGTGAACAAACACTAAAGAGAGAAATAAAAGTATCTTCTTTAAAATTCACCAAATTTTGAATAGAAATTTAAATTCCTACAGCCCCTCTACATTCACGCTCTAATAAAGCTGCCTACAAAGAATTGGGAATCCAGGTTATTCAAAGCTTTATTGTTTAAGTCTTCAACCTGGAGCTTAAGTCTTAAGGCTAAGGCAGCAAGGGAGCCTCCTAAAGATCTCCACCTCAACCTTTCTTTTTCTTTTCTCACTTTCTCTCCTACTCTTTTGTATCTCCCTTTCACTGTGTGCAATGAACTGTGAGCACCAAAATCTGACCTTTGCCAAGATGCTCAGGGGCAGAAGAGGAAGAGAAAGGAAAGAGCAGATCAGCAGAGAGAAAGAAGGGAACCTTGTTCTCATCCACTCTGCAGCTTCAGAGTAGGTGAAGAGAGTAACAGGATTTGCCCCTCTTGCAGCTGGCGTCACAGCTCATTAGTGAAAAGCCTGATCAATGTCCCCCACTTTCCCTGCCCTGGAGAACAAATCTTTCCACCATGCAGTGGCTATTGGGGTAGAGCTCAGGCTGAGCAAGGGACAGCCCTCATTCCTGGGTAATGGAAGGAAACACAAAGAGGTGCTTAGCACCCTTATAGAAAAGTATTCTTAACTTTATTTCTAAAGTCCTGCTTGCTTAACAAACATAAATTTGTGACTATATAGACACTCTAACGAGAGGGTATGTATTACTAAATTCCTTTATGACATATTTACCTAAATGCCTTCACTTAAACACTGATATTTTCTCTTGTCTGTTATGTTCCTTCTGTTCCTTGAATTTTTTTTTCTTTAATCTTACTAAGAGGTGATAGAAAAATTTCCTTCTACTTCCAAGTAAGGACAAAGATCACAGATTTGCATAATTGCCAACCAATCACAATAATGCTTTGAGTTCAGTAGAGACAAAGGAAATAAATAAAGAAAAACACTAAAAAGAATATATCTTGTTTGTTGCATTTGCTTTTTTAGAGCTAAAATCCTCCTAATATGCATAGGACCAAGGATGGAGTAGGATCTGGGTCAGCTCTGCTTCTGTGTGGGAGCAGACCCACTTCTGACAAAGCAGAGGCTCAGCCGGCCCCGTGGAGGGCTCTCCCAGCTGCTGTCCAAGAGAGAACACCTGGAGTGCAAGCTCAGGATGCTGGAAGAAAAAAAATAGCACACCGGTCTCCAGAAGGCACCCTTGACTTTGACAGCTGATGCTTTCTCACTTGGTATAAATTAATTTAATCCCAAAGGCAAGTGGCACGCCAATTTAGACTACAAAGTATAAATCAGATAGAGTGCCTATAATGCTCAGGGACCAGAAGCCACTTATAAACACGTTTAGTTGGCCAAGCAGCTAATATTCTATGTATTTCCAAAGGTCTGTTTTGCTGCTTTACTTGTAGTCGTTTTTTTTTTTTTCAACTTCCCAAGAAACAGAATGGATCTAAAAGCTGAATGCAACTGTAAAGTACCAA